TGGCTTAATAATGCTAAAGAGTAAAAATGTCAGTAAAATTAATAAAATGTAAATGACAGCTGCAGAACTGGTCTCATAGAATTAAGTGAGGTGTTTCTTTCTGTACGTTGACAGCAAAGATGGGGTTTTTTGGCGGGGGGGGGGTTGGTTATGTGGGATAACAAAAGCATGAGGGACTTAATCCAGACAAATAAATTGTCGGTTAATATTCTTTTTTTTTTTTTTTAAAGAAAAAAGTTGGGCTTGACCTCCCCAACAAGCAAACAGAACAATCAACAGTCCCTTGCTCTGAGCTGTGTTGTGATTGAAACTGATGGAAAGTTGGCAACCATAAGACACAGTGATGTGCATAACCGTGAAAATAGCTGCTGTGGAGAGCAGTAAATAAATGATGCTGTGAGAATGTGAATAAAGTGGAATATAAACTGCAGGATGAAATGCAAGGTAAGGCCGGAGATACGGTAAAGTTGTTTTGTTATGTGCGAACCTCCTGGCAGTCAATGAATAAATTAACTAAGACCTGGGGCTCAACGTAGAAGTTTCTCTGTTCCTGTTTTGTTTTCACAATCGCTGCCGGGAAGCTTTTCATGAAACTCCTCGCCTTCTTATATGTGAACGCTTGAAATGATGAATCAGGTGAGGACATTGTTACGACAAGTTACGTTACTCCGACTCAGTGCGTCAGCGGCATTCTCGCTGCTGGAAACACTTCAGAGACGTATTGCATGTTTAAAAATTGAGCACGGGCAAAGGAAATACCCAACCACTACAGACTTTAACACTGGTTATTGTAAGAGTAATAAACCATAAAGAAGAAATGAGCCCAACTTTTTACATACTAACAACATGGATTTAGTGATCTTATAACACAGAAACGGCACTTCTGACTTGTTTACACCTTTGCATCAGTGACACCACGTAAGTCTGTAAAAGCTGGGTGCAAACGAAAGTTCATCTTGTTTGACATCATTTCAGTTCTGGGCTCGAGCAGTGAAGACGTCTCCTGTGTTTGGTTTTCTCCTGTCATGGAGCACTCATTTTTAAACTGTTACAAATTGCATTTCATTCTCATCGTTATTATTGTCATAGGATTTGTTTGAAAATTGTATTATTTTTAAAGACAATGCAGAGTCAAAACCATCTGTGAGAACCAGTCAGCGTAATCGGCTTCGAAAGGTCACTAACAATTAGTCATGCCTGGGAAACCAGATTTGAGATTAGAAACCATTCAAACTGAACAGTAGATAGAATTAGTCACTGAAAGCACCGTGTAGGCCGTGTAATACTTTGAAGTACTTCAAACCAGAATGGGATCGATCCAAATACCCCTTTTGTTCATATAATTTATATTTTGTCATTGTACAGTTTAAGTACAATAGATTATTTGATAGAAGAAAAAGAAGTTCAGCTGTTACAAACTGGCAAAAGCAAACAGCTAAGAAACGCCACCTGCTGTTGTCTTACTTCAAGGTTTCAGCAGCTGCAGAAAACCTATCCAGATAAAGTTAAAGCAGCCCACTGATGAGATGTTTTACCTGGTTTACCTGGTCTAAGCAAAAAATGCTCACCAAAAGCTGCAGAGCTGTATTAAAACGTCTTATTTCCCCTTCAGCTTTGCAAAGTAATAGAAAAAGGCTGCTTCCAGTAAAATACACTGCCAACAATTTCCCAAACTGGAGCAGCCGGTACAGGGTTCATGTCTATTGTCCCCCACAAGTTATTTAATCCTCCATATTGTCTTTTCTATTTAGCTTTCTGCTGCTGGTCGTTATTCAGCTCCTGCCAATGTATTACTGTGTTGTGAAACACAAACAAGTCAGTCTTTTTGATTGTTAGCAGTTGTTAGTGTGTTTTCCAAAAAGTTCTGCTGCTTGCTGCCCTGTCAGCAGAAGTAGAGATGTGTGTAGAAGAAGAGCCTGTTGTGGGTGTGATGGAAAGCAGAGATCAATCTTTTTAGTCTCTCGCTGGCCGTAGAGCACAGAAATCCGATTCCTGGTTTACTTTGATTAGCGAGTGTGTGAGTTTACCTGTCTGCTCAGTCGTCAGCAGATCACATTTCAAGAAAAAAGCTCCCTCGACACACAGTTGCAAAGATGCATGTTTCTGCTGTTGGTATAATTCAGATGTCTTGCACTCCGACTCGTCTTTTATACTCCCCCGAGAACTGACGACAAATGCTAAATCCTTGGCAGGGTTTCTTTTCCAGTGTACATGGCAGATTATTCCTGGTACTGTCGTTTATGTAAAAATCCCCACATTGGCAGTGTGTTGCATGTAAATCAGGCTGGCTTAGAGGCCAAGGCTGTAGGAGGGCTGCTAATATGCTAGCATCCCCCATACGGGAGAGCTACTCTCCTCCCTAAGCCAGATGTATGAGAAGTTTGAATGTGGCACATTTTCCACGCAGGCTGCTGATGTGGGATCGTTATGGAAGCTCGTGTCACTTTAAGGCACTTGTTTTAACAGAGTTAAATGTGATGTTCAGTGTGTGGTTACTAATCTCTCTTGGATGGATCAGGGAGCCTCAGAAGGAATGCTAGTGGTTTTCATCAGGGAATGCCGACATGCAGGCAAATATTCTTTCTCCCACATGTATGTTATGGCTTGTCTTGGGCATTAAGAGACGTGTAACTTTCTTTTAAGACTCAAACGATATGCATTATACAAAGATATAACACAGCAAGTTTTTAAAAACTATGTTTTCATTCCCCTGCATTTGCTTTGCTGGGTTTACAATCAGGAAAGCTGCAACTAGTGTCAGATAAACTGCAGTTTGGCTGCATCAGCTGGTTAATATTCAGAAAACTGAGAATTTGTGTATGCGAACACCTGAAGCAGGTTGGCTGCTCGAGCTATGTGCATATTCAGATACCGTCCTCTGAAAACGTATCCCAGCACAACATGTATTCTGCAGAACTCTGCAGATTGTTTCCTGTGAAGGAGGTGAACTTTATTTGTTCTGCTTCAAGTGTTTTTCTAAAATGGGTCAGCAGATGTTAGAAAGAAAGAAAGAGAGAGAGGTGGAGGAGGAGGAAGAAGAAGAAGAAGAAAAACAGCCAAGGCAAACTGTTTACTCTGCAGTGTGGGCCGAGAGGAAAGCTAGAGAGAGAAGAAGAGTGGGAGAGATCGAGGGAAGAGACGCTGCCTCTACTGTATGTTTTGGTCTTTTTTTTTAAACTCAGCATTTTCTAGGCCAGAGGACATTATGGCCCCTGTCCTCTGCACTCCTTAAGATTCAGTATTTGTCAGTGTTTTCTTTTAAAAATTTCCTTCAGTGTCTGCCAAGTGATCTTATGCTGCAAACTCTCTTTTAATATGTGGGCGCATTAAAGGTAACCGCATGTTTGCACGTGCTGTGTATCACTTGTGCTGTAACACATGCAGGAAGCCTTTAGTGTCAAATTTGCACCTTAGAAAAACAAAACACACACTGTGCACCAATCGTGCAACTTGTTGCCTACAGCAGCAAATCTAAAAGCAAAACGAAGTCATTATGGCCTGTAAATACAGGCAGCAAAATAACTTTAGGCCCTTTTTATAAAGCTAAATGTTTAGTTCTCTGATAATAGAAGTGACCTAAACCAACTGGAACTCAGAGTCAACCATAGTAAGTAATGTGAGCCATTTAGAGTAAAAGATAAAACATTTTATCTGCAAATGTTTATTAATGTTAGCCTTATCTCTTTAATTTTAGCCCTTCTATGTAGCCAGCGACTGCTGCACCCCTTTTCTGAATTCTGCCTCTCTGGCACACTGGTGATACTATTTTAAAACTCTATTATTAGTATATAAAGCCCAGAATAGTTTTAATATATGTTGTTGTTTTATGATGGCTCTATTGTGCAGTGGTTTACACATTTGCCAGACAAGCCAAAATATTGCTGGTTGTGTCCCAACAGGAGACACAAATAGGGATTGGAACTGAAAACCGGTGTTGGAGCTTATCAATTCCTTTATCAGCGTCCGCAGGTGCTGGCAATGCACACTGATTGCAAATCAACAGTATTGCTACATGCACGTCTAGTGTTATCAGAAAAAGGGGGTCACGGGAGAGAGGATGAAGCGATCCAAAGCATTGCTTCATGCAGAAACATGATAACGACTTATTTGTAATGTCTTTAACATCATTATTGAGGTGGGAATGCCAGGAGAAACATCTCCTGCAACACAGGATTCACTTGCTCAAGTGTCATGCATTTGATGCGATATGGATGAGCACCACAAGTGCTACCAGCCGAGCAGCTCGTCTGTACAGATGCCTAACATCATTTTAGTTGACTTCAAATAAAGCTTTCAATAAATGACATTCTTTCATTTCTTCATCTAGCATTAAGCGATAGTCTGTTTGGGATTAAATAAATGATAAAGTAGTTGTACTGCATTGGAAATCTGCAGGCATACTTGTTTTCTCATATGAAACTGGGTCAAGAATCAATAAGGGAATTGGATCGATTAGCAAATTCAATAATGGAATTGGTATCAATAAAACCTCATCAATCCCCATCCCTAGACACAATTCCCTTTGGGGAATCTTTCACCTGTGATGATCTTAAAGGTCGCGGATTTAACTATAAGGGTTTTGTCCATCCAATACTAGGAAATAATAAGCCAGCACCTCACCAGAGTAGTATGCAAAACTAATGGACAACAGAGGAAAATCTCTGTACAGTTTCTCTTTGCACATGACAGCCTCCTCAATAAATGTTATAAAATTAAGCAACATTAGAAGAGTTCTTTAATGAGTCATAAAGAAATGTAATTCTTTTGATGCCAGGAATTCACTTTTAAGTATGTAAAATGCGTTTAATAGTTTTATGAAGCCTCATTAAGCTCAGTTGTGAATTTACGATGTGTTTTTGTTTTTGTTGTTGTTAGGGGTTTTTTTTGGGGGGGGGGTGTTAGATGCATGCATCATTCTGCTTCATCTTTGAGTTTTACTGCCTTAAAATATTGCCTTATACATCTGCTTTTACTTAAAAAATCTTTTGCATGTTTTCCAGGCACACACAACAAAGTGAACCAGTGTCCTGTCAATAAATATCCATGCCTGGATGTGGAAGTGTGTCTCCATGCAAGCAGATTTTGTAATGGAGTCGCTGATTGCACTGACGGCTGGGATGAGGGGCCTCACTGCAGAGGTAGGAAACAAAGTGACACACACACACACACACACACACACACACACACACACACACACACACACACACCTTCTCCTCTGTCATACTGACACTTTTGCCCTTTGTTGTGGGTCAAAATTAACCAGACAGCTTCTGTTATAAAGAAAATGTTCTTGTCTTTCCATCCCAAACCATCATTTTTATCGAGTCATCCCCTCTGTTGGGCCATTTAATGAGTTGGCCTGTTCTAGCTTGTGCAATTACTATGGAATTTCTCTTTCAAGGGAAAAAAAAGTCATTAATTTATCAATCAGCTCTGCTATGAGGCTGTTTCCCCCAATCCTAGCAGGAATAATAAGCATTCAGACCAGATACAGCTGAGAAAAATCCCATCACATCCTCCCCTATTAATTAGAGACAACAGAAGAATGAGTGATGGAACATATTGAGTCCATAGTGTATTTCTTTGTTGCAGCTGACAAAAGAGCAAACACTGGCTGCCTTTTGAGAGCTGACTCAGTATTCTGCAAGGTAGTGCTCAGATATCCTGGAACTGTCTGAAGTTTGGCTTTGTCACATCTGCCAAGAAGGATAGAATCAGAATACTTTATTGATCCCTGGGGGAAATTATTTTTTTGTTACAGTGCTCCATTATAAACAACAGTGTTTGTTTGTTTTGTTTTGGGTTTTTTTTTTTTGGTTGGTGGGGTTGTTTGTGTGTCAGCTGAATTATTTGGAGACTAAGAAACTTGTTAGTGAATCAGAGCGATAATAAAGGATCTGGATCAAGGGTGTGGATCGCAGCAGTTTATATTCACTATTCGGTTATACAGGCAGCCTGTCAACAGACATGCCAATTCAATTCAGTTTTATTGATATAGCGCCAAATCACAAGGTGCTTTATATTGTAAGGTAAAGACCCTGCAATAATACAGGCAGACAAACTTTAACCACTCCTCTTTAAACTACCTATACACCATTTGCAATGACATTGCAGTAGAAAAGCTCCCAGAGGGGCCCCACAGGGGGGGGTGCAAGGCACAGCAGCTGTTTGGAGAGAGGGGGGCAGAGTTCTAATATGCATTATTATGAGCTGATATTTGATGTAAACTCTTAGTTCAAATACTCTTTGCAGAAGTGCATGCACGGTGTTTTTCAGAGTATTGGCCTTGACAGAGCTCTGACTCAATCCTGGGACATCTGCGTTCGTAATTTTGTGCCTCTCCTTTTCCATTGTGCTGCTCTTTTCCTGGAATATGAAATTACTAAATCTAAATCAGATATTTACCATCAACAGTAAAGTTTCAGAGTATCAGAGACCTGGATCAAGGGTGAGTCTGCTGAGCTCTCAAACATTGGCTAATCTTTTGCCATTTAAAAAAACATATTAACCAAAGTGTCTGATGTCTGTTCCACTATCAGCAACACAGAGATCTGATCTCTTTATCATTTATTGGCTTTATCTTTGTATCAGTTTACAGCTTTAGGCATTTGATGCAAGGTTCTATCTCTATTTTCAGTTTGCTTCCTTCCATGTGCTCAAAGAGTGATCGTGAACCACGCTGTATCAATATTAATCCTCCACACTGAGTTGAGTCATTACAAAAAAAAAGTTTGTGTGATTAGTTGAGACCAGAAGAAAATGAGATGTGTTGAACCACAGTGTGGGTGAAAGTGTTAGTAACCCACACAGCGGTCATCACTGCTACACAAGCCTTTTATGCAACGCGGTGATGATGTCATCCCGTTACAACGTGCACTGCCTGTCCCTGAGGACACAGGTCCAGCTGTTTTCAGTAAGGCAGCGCTCTACGCACACAAGTACTTAAACACACCGGCATGTGTGTGTGCCTGTAATGCATACATGCATGCCCTCACATGTGCACACAAATATACACTCACAAAGTCACATTCTTACTCATGCAACCAAACACATGAGCTGTGTGTCCAGAACTTTTGGCATTTGTGAGACCGCCTCATTTCAGGGAAAAGGCTTTCACAAGCTTCGTAGTGTTTGCTGTACAAACTGCCAGGTTGTGCAAGTATACCTGGCCACTGATATTTGAAAGCACACTTTGTCATTCAGCGTTTCTGAGTAATTCTGTCAAAGTTGTTGACAAGCGGTTAGAAAGGGGAATGCTGCACGGTATTTCAAGCTTTCTAAAATATGTTTTCTGTTTTTTCACAGTGTGCGGAAAGCCTTGCGGTTAAGTAGCTCGCTTTATGTACTGGAGTGATAAAAGGGAATCAACATTAGTGCTTTGATGGGATGTGAGTCAGACAGTTAATTTGACACCTGACTGTATGCAAACATTTACAATTATCAGTGAAATTATAACACAAATGCATGAATATACTCTAATGTTGGTCACCTTTAAGTTTGATCTTGCGTGATTATACTAGTTGGAGCAAATTAGAAAAAGATGATATCATCCAGCTTTATATACTGGTCATCCCATATTAAATCTAGGAACAAAAGTAGGTTGTCAAAAAGGAAGGTAGTTGTTAAATTGATATTATTAAACTGCATAAATGTCTAATAAGATAATAAAGTAACTGTGATCATATCGTCTGATAAAGTCTGTGGCCGGAGTCTTCACTACATGGGCACACAGGTTTATAGATTTTGGACAAGGACACAATTTGAAAAATGCCCTTTGAAGTAAAGCAGTCAAGACATCTCAACTTTAATTCAGGATGTTTAACAGAATATTGTTCAGAAAATGTTGGACTTACTTATCCAAGCTCAAAAGGAACCGGAGCATTGACTAATAAGTATGTTCATGGCCAGTTGTATCCAGTGTCCTCGCTATTTCATATATTAAAGACATAACAGATCTGGAGTTGGTTCCAAGTGTTTCTAGCTGTTCATTGGACCTCTTATTGTGCAGGTATTTAATGCAAAGGAGGCCATCCATATTTTTGAGTGGTCAGAAAATAACTGCAACTTCCAAAAGTTAATTATGACATTATTTTGTCAAACCTCTTGAAGACTACACTTCAGTCATTGTACAGTTTGCTTCATTTTGAATCTGCTGTGGTGGCCTACAGAAGCAAAAATATGAACACTGTGTCATTGTGACATGAATGTATACAATGAGTCTGCAAAGACATGGATGTAAACTGAAGCTTCACTAGCAAACTGAAGCATACAACCTCAAGATAGTAGTTCTAGTTTATTGTTAATATTGCAGATAAATGCGATGTATAATGTTTTAATGGCCATAGGTCCCTGTGCCTTGCTGAGGACAAGAGCATTTGAAAAGTTACCATGTGGCTTTGCGAGAGTTCAAACCAAGTAAATGAAACCTGTTTAATCAAATAGACTGTTGGCAGTTATGAAGTCCTTCTGTCGTATAGGTGGTTGATTTGCAGGCCTGCGTTTCTCTTTCCTTTGAGGGTGAGGAAGCCTCTCTTTCAAGACGCAACTTTAGAGACCTGCCTCTTAGATGTGAATGATTGACAAGGCAAGAAAAAATGGGGTCATGGCAGTGTTATTGAGTCTCCCCCCCCCTCCCCCCCCCCTCTCTTTCAAGGCACCCCACTGGAACCCTGATTATTGTAGTGAGCTATCGCTGTTGTTTATGCAGAGCTTTAATTGTCCTTCACGTTCCATTGTGTAACTGTGCAATGACAATCGGTCATCGGACTTCAATCGGACTTGAAGCTGCCTGTGGAAATACTACATTATAAGCTTCATTCATGAGTGGGTCTTGACCTAAATTGGTTTATGGGCTGCAGTTAAAAGTGTCAGTGAAGGCTCTACAGTGCTGTAATCTAATCATAAATGATCATTGGCTGAAGATAAAAGAAATTGCATGTATTGAATTTATTTAGCAAGTTGTGCTGCTGCCATGCACGGGAATGTGCTACAGCAGGTGTACTTTGTGAGTCGTTGTACATTTGTGTTTGAGTATTTATGCAAGTTTAAATTTAGACATGTGGGCAGCATACTGCCACTGTTTGGGAATAAGCTAGCTACTGTTTGCTCATTACTCAAGCTGCACTATGTGTGTTTGCAAATGGTTAATTTGCCCTATTTGATTATCAAGCCTGCAAACAACTGGCAGTAGATACATTGTATGCTCACTGACATATAGCTTTATAGTAATGTTAGCTTTTGCCATCAGCTACTACAATATAAAGTGTGCGATAGAATCCACAATTGTAATGCTCACAGTCACAAAGTAGTTTAAGGGAATGAAGCGTCTTAACTCGAGATACAATAACATCATATTTAATGTGAACTGCTAAAACATGTAAGGTGCACATATAGACCATTTTTAAAAAGAAATCTTCAGATTGCCAGAACTTTTTTTTTCTTTTTTTTTTCACAAAACATGGGGCCAAAAAACGTGAACGTGACAAATGCCATCATTTAATGACACAACGTAGGATAATGTGAGGCTTCCGTCTGTGGCATGTAGAAGGCAAAAGCATGTGTAAACCTGTCTGCAGACAGTGAGAGCGCAAAGAATGTCCTGTGAAACGCCTTTCTTTAAAATGTCACACGCTGAAATCGCCCCTTTATACAGTTATGATATCATGTATAGAAATAAAGGCTTTTTTTAGAAAATAAAGCTGATTCATTTTCAAGCCACTTGGTGGATAGATTATGATAAATTGTCTTTTGCTGACATTCATTAAGTCACTCATTTGTTTTTTAACTGTATGAACTCAACACCAAAATGTGTTTGTCTCATTCAGCCTGTGTCACTGCTGTAGCCAGCCTGTCAGCATCATGATTGGGTTTTAGAGGAAAATGCCAACTTTCATAAATTTCCTCACGGGCTGAGGAAATGAGTCCAAGGACAGTTCTTCCCTTCTTTCCATCTCCGCCCTCTCTCCTATTATTATTCATCATATTCATGCTATTGTGTCGTGCTAATCACACCATTTGCAGATTTTGCACATACTCGTGTGTGTGTGTGTGTGTGTGTGTGTGTGTGTGTGTGTGTGTGTGTGTGTGTGTGTGTTAATTGAAGGCAGGCCCTAATTTAGCACAAATAGTCAGAATACACATATTGGTGGGATTTTACTGAAACCTCAGAGTTCAAGTAGCAACCTTTTCTGTCATTACTATACATGAATCCTATTTTCACTGATGCCTTGAGTGTTTACATGAATTTTAAGACATTCAAACTAAATTTGTTGTTTAAAAACTCTTTAGCCTGCTAGTCCTCACATCAGATGTCTCCCTTCTTCCACATAGAGGTCTATAGTGAAATTGAGGGTTGCCATCCTTGCAGTAACAGGATCAATGACTCTGGCGTGCTGGTTTAAGACTGAAGGTCTCCAGTGTGTCACTGTGTGATTTGTTTGCTTCGTTCATTAGCTCTGGTCAAACGTCTGACATACAGCTGTTGTTTGTTTGCTTAGAGCTGGAACGTTCTAACCTCATCCTCGAGTCCTGTATGCGCAGTTTACACCTCCAGCCTCTCCTCTCCCTTCACTTTCTTGTTTTTCTTTTCTTTTTTAATTGTTTCTTCAGTTCTTTCTCCATGCATCTGTTCTCCTCTGAGGTTGGATGAAGTACGTTTTTCATGTTCACATCCCAGAATCCTTTTTTTTTTTTTTTTTTTTTTAAACTGTGACTAAGGTAAAATATTACATTTGTTCAGCGATACATTAGCCTTAATTTTAACATGAATTTGCTCTCCATTTAAATCCAGAACCTACTTTGACCAAACTCTGTCAAACGTATGAAAACCAAATCATCCTTTTTAATTCATAGGACCGTTATTATAACGGATCATTACAGATTCCACTTAATAATTTTTCATTTGTTGGATTTTTATGAATAGCGTTTATGGTATATAACAGAATAGTCCTTAATATTAGAATATTCCTTAATATAATATATAATATTTAAGTATAATGTCTCTTTGTTTCACCCAGCCTTTGCTAAATGGAATCCATGAACCTGGGCTGTGATAAACATGCTGGGTATTTTAGCTCTCTGCTTGCCTGTGGTCTCTCACAGCGTGAGCGTTGCTGAGTGGATTCGATATGGGCCACAATGTTTGCTGGAGACTCTTCCTTTCAACGGGGCCACAACAAAAGAGTCATTATTGCCTAAAGTGCCACAGGCTTTATATAATAAGGGTCCTTCAATAGGTCCAGTCTCCACTCTTCACAGCCGTGCCACGACTAGCTGCAGTACACATAGTGTATGAACGATTACATTGTTTTTGTTGGAGGTTGAGCTAAATGTCTTTGTGCTGCTAGAAGCCTCCTTTTTTTTACTTATCTTTTCTATTTTTGGGGGAAATTTGCTTTGACCTTAAGTTTTGTTTTTTCTATGCTCTCTCTCCTCGGTCCTGCTGTTCATATTGATATGAGGTTAGAAGATGAAGTCTTATCTAGCTAATAATCAGTCCTAAAACCAATTTTAAAAAAGAATTGACTTGTTAATCTGGTAATTGAGCAGCAAAATAAGTAATGACTTAAAGTGGTTGAATGTTCCTTTACAAAAATGTTTGCTTTAATGCAAATAGTTGTATGGTGAACACTGATTCATCTGTGTACTTTACTTTGGAATATGAAACGATTTATATGCGTGTCTCTGCTGAGGGAGCTTTGGAAATCCTCACTGAATGAGGAAAAAGTCACCTTAAAGCACCATGACAAACAGTACATACTGTTTTAATGTATTTAGTACTGGACTCATGAACAGTGTCATGTGACAAGAATCTATCACAGCCACACAACCCTATTTATGCTCTTGGCCCGACACACACCTCTGCATGCTCATGCACAACCTACAGAGGCCATGATGAGAGGATGTGCGGATTCCCCTCTTTCATTTCATGCCAAAAGGATGTGACCGTGAGTTTCCTCTGAGGCTGGAAAAGAAGAAGCTCTCTAATGTGTGCACGTTCGAATCACCGCGTCTGTCACATGCACAGATGAATACACACACTTAACCACAGTCCTTTTGTCTCATACACACATTCACATGCACTCGCAGTCTTGCAGTCCTGTAAGACAGGATAGGATTGGACACGATAGCATGCCTCTGTTAAGATTGCCCTGGGATCATCCCTGCTATCCTTAATAGTATTCATGTTTCAGCAGTATTTAACACGCTCTATGTTGCTCTGTTTTCCCTGGTTTAGCAAACGCACCAGACTGTGCCTCCCATGGGTGCGAGATTGGCTGTGCAGTGACTCATGATGGGCCTCGTTGCTACTGTGGAGATGGTTACGAGGTTGCTGCAGATGGAAAGAAATGTAAAGGTGGGTGGTGATTTGGCAAATTCATTTTAGTTTGGCCTAAGACAAACAGAAAGTAACCATCTGGTTGCTGACTGCAGGGGACAGCATGTAGAGGTGATTCAACCAGTCTTTGGAAGAGAAGAGAGCACTATCTTAAAGTTTCATCATTTACTGTGTGTGTTAATGCGCTTTTGTGTTTCTTTGTGTAGATTTCAATGAGTGTGGTGTGTATGGAACATGCAGTCAGACATGCACAAACACTGAAGGCAGCTACACCTGCAGCTGTGTGGAGGGCTATCTCCTGCAGCCAGACAACCGCTCCTGCAAAGCCAAAAATGGTGAGGGGGTGGACAGGAATCGACAGAGCCCAATGATTATAGTTCACGCTGGCCAAAACATTATGCAGGAGATCATATTCCTTCCTAATATTTTATCTCCTCTACTTAAAAAAATTGTTAACCTCACCCAGAGCCTGTGGATCGTCTGCCGGTTCTGTTGATCGCCAACCTTAACAACATCCGATGCACCTCCCTGAGTGGCTCCGCGACCCGGGTTCCTTCCATCGCCACCAAACAGACCATGGCTATGGACTTCATCTATGCGGAGGAGACTGTTTGCTGGATAGATGTGGGTGATACCCCCGCTGCCACCCAGCTTAAGTGTGCCAGCATCCAAGACCTGAAGTCTGTCAGTAACAACCGCACCATCAACATCTCTCTCAGCTTGCACCGTGAGTAGAAGTTTACAGACAGTTGTTGACATAGTTTACATTTTCCTGTTTTCTTTAAAAGTGGTCAGCTGTGGGTTTGCTAGCTCAAACTCTACTGTAAGCTTGTCTCCCAAAAACAGCTCAAACCAACTTGAAAGTGCCAAGAAGAAATGCTGAGGCCAACTTTATTTTTCAAAAGATTTTTTTTCCTCTAAAGAACAGGGGCACCCTGACACACCACTAAACTATCCCATAGAAGCAATGTGTGTGTAGCAGACTTAGTTATATAATACATACAAGGCTGCCAGCATGCCTTTAGTTATTCATTTGCATACTTCTTGACAGGTAAAAGCAACCTGCTGGGAAGTTTGATTCATGCACTGACTGTGCGGAGCTTTTCAGAAGCCTGGAAAAGTATTTTTCCGCTGCTTTTGTTTGACCCATGCTAGTATGATCAGACACTGGTCTCTTATGTGATGGTATTTGGCACTAGGGTTTGCCAGACAAAAGTGCTCTCTGCCTTTTTCTAAGTCTTTCCCAGGACTGTACATTTTGTCCTCTGAGATGTGGTGGATAGGCAGCACATCTGTTTTGTGAAGGTAGCATTGTCATTGTGTGAACTCACAGGCTCCGAGTAACAACCAGATGCACACAAATGGATGTGCACAGTATATGATTACTTTCTATTGAGAGACTTACTCATATAATGCTGAAATGAATTATCTGTGATTGCAAGCCTGCCAAGGTCTGTTTTTATTCACCTGGCTGACAGAGCCGTTACTCTCTAAGAATGGGGGCAGAATTTGCAGACAAAACACAAAAAGCAAGGGCGTGGTTTGCATGCTCGTAAACACATACATGCATGTGAGAAGTTTTCCCTTGAGAACCTGGCCCCAGGCGAAGAACAGCAGACAGGAAGAAAAGAAGTGGAGAATCTGGGGTGTGTAGACCCTGAAGTGTGGGACACAAAACCTGTGTCATGATTGAAAGTGCCTTGGCTCATATCCACTTCAAATGAAGCTTGTGTAATAGTCGTCACTGTTGACAGCCGGGGCAGAGGCTAGGAGCTTTAGAAACTCTGGGGTTTTTCCAGTCTATTGATTCAGTCATGAGTCCCTCATATCCCGTCTCTCCCTTATTGTGTTGGCTTTTTGCTGTTGCTTTTTGGTCCAGTGCTCTTTTGAACCCCGTCTTCTTGAAAGCACAGCACAGTTATATTTCGGGGAAAAACATTTCTATCAACCTGAAGAAGCACTGCTGATAAATGTATTTGGCGAGTGTCAGATATCAGATGTCATACTGAAGATACCTGTGGTATACTCACTGCAGCTCTCGCCTAAATTAGGAATCCGTGATCTGATTTGATATAGAAAATGTCCACAGTCACACGGAATATTATTATCATTTTAATAAAAGAGTCAAAACTCACAACTGGTCGTGGCAGATGGCTCCTTATTCCTGATCCTGGTTGTCCGGGTTTCTTCCTGTTAAAAGGGAGTTTTTCCTTCCCACTGTCGCCAACTGCTTGCTCATGTGGGATCATCTGATTTGGGTTTTTTTGTCTCTGTTAGGGTCTTTACCTTACAATATAAAATGCATTGAGGTGACTTTGGTTATGATTTGGCAATATATAAGTCTAATTTAATTTAATCACCGATTTTTCTATTTCTGGTATGCAAACCCAAGTCCGCGTTCCCTGATAGTGTGGTCTTTTAAGTGGTCTAAGGGATAAATTATTGTGAGGTGTGGAATCGGGAGAAACACCAAATGAAATTTAAAGGAAAGGATGAAATTGAGAATGCGAAACCGAAGGTAGTTATATGATACACCTTGAAGCAATATGTATATGTGAGTGGTCATATCAATGGTATTCACATTCCTCTGTTGGTTTATGTCAGCCTGAACACTCACTTACATTCCTCGAGCCGTCTCAAGTCATGTCCAGTCAGGTCACTTCAGCATGCGCACGCACACAAAGCCAAATACCTTTGAGTCGTTCAGCCATTACTTAGTAACATTATGTTTCATGAAGTGAGATTTGACACTTTCATCCGTTCTTTTGTTGGATTTTTTCATTATATATTGTTTTCCTCTGTATCCTTTTTACTGCGACGCTTAAAAAAGAAAGCATTTTGAGATAAGAGTGCACCCGTACAACCTCCTTCAACTCAAAATCTGCTCATAAAACTGGTCCAAACCTGTTCGCTACAGAGGTTTTAACATATTCGCTTCTGCCCTGAACTTTTCCAGATGCTACCCAGAGGAATTTTTTGTGACAATTAAAATAGGCGAATGTGTCGGACCAGGCTTTAAACAAATTTTATCATTCCAGGTCCCTTAGTGCGGCGTCTGTGTAATGTACATTAGGCTTAATAAAGGAGGTGATTGTCCAGAGAATAGACAGTAAGGACGTGAGTGTGCTGCTTTGTGTCATATCCTGTGAAACCTGGCAGCAACCGTCGCCTAAACCAAACATAGTATTTCAGGTAGTAAGCATCTCTCTGACACGGATAATCTCCTGCTGTCCGCTACATGTGTGAAAAGGAAGCTGCAGACAATGTCTGGACCTGATTCACTGGACATTCATGTGTATAAACTGCTTATGTCTGTTCTGTTTAATAGAAGCAGGGATCAGGTGCTCTAGTAATAGCACGCTGGGCAGACTTAGGGATAGGTGTAGGGTTGATGCAGGGTTCACATGAACTGGTTGATTTATAGCTTTTGGGAGCCTGAAAGAGAAGCGCAGATAAATGTACAAAGGTTCCAGATGTGGCCAGCTCTGTCTGCATGTTTAATTCTCCTACTGTGAAGATAAAAGGAGAGCAGAGCTGACCCGTCCCATCCTCTCCACCCTCTAAGCGGAGCTCCACAGCAGGGACCAGCACATCTCACCATGTCTGTCTTTCTGATGTTGTCCTTTTTGGGCATCTTTTTCAGAAGGTTTCATGTAAGGTTTTTGTCTTTCATCAGATCTTCTTATCTAGGTAATTACATCTCCTTTTTACTTGTTCCAGGGGGAGATTTGCCATAGTATAACTGCCTCTTAAATAGAGGTCAAATGTCACATCCCTGTAGACAAGCATAATCGCAGTACTCCTAAAACTCTGCTCTTTAGGGGTCAGTGACGTTTTTGTGCAGATTAATAGGATCTTCTTGGCACAAAGAGGATTATGGAAGCTGAAAAATCACCATCTTTCCTGCTTTGTACTGACATGTAAATATAAGAAGACATTTGTCTAGTTTGAAGAACTGCTAAGGCTGTGTCCTTGTATGCTTCCTATTTTTCTTTTTTTTTTTAAACCTTTCCTCCAAGTGCTTGAAGCTGTAGGTGTAACAGGCAGGAAGAGAAAAAGGGGGTTGGAGGGTAGAGTGGTTAGATGAGAAGAAAGAGGTGGGTTCATTCAGTTTCCCAGCAAACTTTCCACTTACCAGAAGCTGCATCAGTGGAGACGTCAACAGACTGCCTGGCTCTCTGGAGTAAGGGGCTCCGTAGGTTGTTACACAACGCAGCAGTCACTGGGTTGCACAACTGTCTCTGTACTCTGTATATGAATCTAATCAATGCCTTGTGCAGGCGTGCTTCCAGCTGGATTTTTGTAGAGGAGTTGGGTTTTAGGAGAGATACCAATGGGAATATCACTATCCCTTTCAACTTCATGAGAAACTTTTTCTTTTGTCAGAATTCTGATCCTGGTGTTTTTGAAACACCCAGGACTGCTGAACATTTGCTACTTGCCTATATACTTTTGGCCATGTTGTTTTTAGTTTAGTTAATGTATAGTCAGTTTTGATGTGAGATGGTGAGAGTTATCAATCTTCTCCTCAATCGCATAAAAATGTGTTATTTATGGCATTTCATCAAGCAAACTTCAAATCTCATGTAGTCCTTGCATTTTGAAGTTCTGTGTCGCTTTGATCGAAGCATTGCTGCAGCGTTCCAGTGCAGTTATTTCTCTAAATGCTCAAAGCTTGGGGAGAGGTTACTGGCTCACTTTCAGATGTGTTAACGCATGCAGCCCAAATTAAAGTTGGCGCTTTCTGATTTTGGTCCCTTTGTTTTGGTCATGATGTGGTCTCCATCCAAAAACAGTTTTTGGTGTCTAAGATGATTAAATGGGGACACGTTGGCAATTACAAACAATTAACTGTGATAGATTGGCAAAAACTACTGATTGAGTCAAACTGATTGCAACATTCTGACAAACTGTCTGCATTTACAAATTGGACAACAGTTATTTACAAACCTGCCAATCTGTCTGAGAGGGATGGAACCAGGTGACCACTGTATGATTGTGAGTGGTTGAATGTGTTGCTCAAGAGTGTTGCACGTTGCACGCGGTGACCAGCAATGCCCCAAATGGACAACCAGTTGATCACCACAGTACCTGCAGTCTGATTGCAAGTAGCTGTGGTGATTGTGGAAAAGATTCAGTGCCATCAGCGGGTAGCCACCTATTTATTTATTTAACTCTACCTAGCGAGGATATTGCCACCCTACTTTCGGTCTAGTGTAAGAGAGCCATTAGATTTGATCTGTTCACATCCTTTTTTAAAAAAAATTCTTATCAGAGTTTATATTATAATCTAAATGCATATAATGAAGAGTTGGAAATTAGCAGAGGTTTGGAAAGGCACCTCAGGTTAACACACTTGAAATGGTTAATGGAAGCATATGTAAACAAGAGCAAGTGTGTGTGTGTGTGCGTGTGTGTGTGCGCGCGTGTGTGTGTGTGCAGTGATCTGGTTTGCTTTTAAAGAATATGCAGTGGAATCTGTTAAAACAACCATCTCTTCCCATCAGTGCGTCCATCTGCAAAGTTCCTTCCTTAAACTGACTTAAAGCGGATACAAAATGTTGACATCCTTCATGAAGGTGTCGCAAGAGTTTCGGGTCAGTTTGACTCATATTTGAAATCATGTAGACCCTTCTGCACTGCACGCATGCAATTAATGGGTCAGTGTCAGCTTAATACTTAATAATCTTACTCAAGAGCATGTCTTCAGACATGAGGTCTGCGAGGGAATTCTGTCTTACTCACTGATAAGAGTTTACAAGGTTTAGAAAGTGCTGGACTTCACCTCTAACTCTTAACACAACACCTTTTTCTTTTCCCTTCCTTCCCTGCACTCTACATGCCTTAATCAAACACAAGTGGAATGTTTGTAATGGACAACCTGCAAGATTACACAATAAATAACATTAATTCATTGCTGCTATTTTTTTTGTATCAAGATAGCAGGTATTCTTGGAACGGTTCCTGATATCATAAAATTTGATAATAACATAATATTTGGATTCATTGTGGTTTATGACTAAGAGTTATATGACTGTACTCCCACAACCCTGTTTTTTCTTTCTTTTTTTATCCTGTTGTTTCATGCTCTTCTCTCCTTTTCTCTCCTCTGCGTCCATCAGATGTGGAGCAGATGGCTATAGACTGGCTGACTGGCAACTTCTACTTTGTGGATGACGTGGACGACCGGGTGTTTGTCTGCAACAAGAACGGCAAAACTTGTGTGACCCTGCTGGACCAAGAGCTGTACAACCCTAAAGGCATCGCCCTGGACCCAGTGATGGGGTCTGTATTTGCCTCCAGGCTCCTTGACTTAAGATTGCCCTCATCCTGTTTTAGCACTGCTCAACAGGAAAATGCTGTCTTATGATCAGGCGACATGCTGACCAAGCAGCCAGGCGAAAATCAGAGCACTTTCTCAAGACACGGACCTAGACGGGATCCTTCTTTCGACATAAATACTTCCATGTTGGTTGTTTCAGGTTCCTGATACTGACAATCTGTTATCTGGTAGTTCCTTTTAAAAGGATCATTTCTCTTTTTTGCAATTGTCTTTAAATAATTTTATTTAATTCCGATGTCTAATACAGTTGTCCTAGTTGTGGTCAACTAAATTTATCTAGTCCATTTCCTTTTCTGTGAAACCTTCTGTAATTTAAATCTATCCTCTTCCCCCTGCTACAGAAAAGTGTTCTTCACAGACTATGGGTCTACACCGAGGGTGGAGCGTTGTGACATGGACGGGCAAAACCGCACTAAGCTGGTCGACAGTAAGATTGTCTTCCCCCACGGTATCACTTTGGACCTGGTGAACAGGTTGGTGTACTGGGCTGACGCTTACCTGGATTACATCGAAGTGGTGGACTATGAGGGCAAGAATCGGCACACCATCATCCAGGGTCTGATGGTGAGGATTTGAGGATCAGTGTAACCATAAGAAATACACCTAATCACACGCAAACGCACTCAAGAATAAAGGCTTCTGCATGCATCTTATCAACCCAGCTTAGTACTCACAAAACATCTGTTTTCCATATCTCTGATTTAATCGTATGTTTGGAGAAAAAGCTCTTTTCCCGTTGTCTCCTGTGTGTCCAGGCAAAGAGTGCATGCCTCTCCTGGGGATAGGTCCTTTTTATTGCCTTGATTGATATTACTTAAAGAGTGTGTGATTTTCCTGGCTAGTGCCTCGCTAAACATATTAGTCTGGCCCTAGTGGAGCTTGGCTCAAACTTATAGGGAAGTAATGATCTTAATGAAATCAGGACTGTGGTGGTGGTGTGTGTTTGTGTGAGAGGTGGAGGGAGGTAATATGATCTCAGCCCATACATCTTTCTGACAGCAGAGGAGAGCTGCACAGAATAGACCCTTATAAAAGTAAGACCCCTCTTTCCTTTACAGCAGATGGGGAGTGAAGCCTTTGTGCTGCTCCGTGCCAAGTTTACTCAGACACTCACTCTTTATCTGTCTGTCTGTCTGTGTTTCTCTAGTTTTCTCTGTCTTACAGAGATTATTCACATTCTTAAATTTAAACCGATCAATTACTCAATAGACAAGTTGAATTAAGCTGGATTTGCAGGACAGTGTTGAAGATAAAATGTGCACAAATGATATTGCCCAAACTATTAGTCAGCCAGCTTGAGCAAACCCTTTTGCTAAGAATGCAGAGATATTATGTCTAACATGCAACATCCCTTTTTTCCCCTCAATGTTTTTCTCCTTTATCTTATTTCAGATCGAGCATCTGTATGGGCTGACTGTATTTGAGAACTATCTCTATGCAACAAACTCGAACGAAGGCAACCTCAACTCCAAAACGACCGTGATTCGAGTAAACCGCTTCAACAGCTCCGACTTCCAGGTGGTGACCCGGTTAGATCGGGGAGCTGCGCTGCACGTGTACCATCAGAGACGTCAACCTCAAGGTGCGCAGTGAGACTTTTATAAACGTCCACAAATAACAGTTACTGCCAGGCAAATGTGTTTTTCAAAGCAAATCGTTACATAACTGTTGTGCGCTTGTTTCCTCGCTCAGTGCGTAGTCACGCGTGTGCTTTGGATCAGTTCGGAAAAGCTGGGGGCTGCTCTGACATATGTCTGCTGAGCAACAGCCACAAGACCCGAACCTGCCGCTGCCGCTCGGGCTTCAGCCTCGGCAGCGATGGCAAATCCTGCAAGAGTGAGTGAAGAAATTGATTCGACTAAGATGAAAACCTTTTGACTTGATGATGGGAGATGGGAATGAAGTAGTAGTGGTTTGAAAATCTCTGACAGAATAATTGTTCATTTATGATGCTTCTCTGCAGAGCCGGACCACGAGTTGTTCTTGGTGTATGGCAAGGGTCGTCCTGGAGTCATCAGGGGCATGGACATGAACGCCAAAGTGCCCGATGAGTACATGATTCCGATCGAGAACCTAATGAACCCCCGAGCATTGGATTTCCACGCCACCAATGAATTCATATACTTTGCTGATGCCACAAGCTACATCATCGGGCGGCAGAAGATAGATGGCACAGATAGAGACGTCATACTGAAGGATGGTAAAGACTGAAAATTCAGGCTACTAAAAAGAATTTGTGGATAAAAAAAAATAATAATAATGAAGTCAGCTTATTTCAGATTCAGTTCTATTTATTCTTTTGGATTGGACAGCCAGTAGCTTTTTCACACTGACTACTTTTGCTTATCTCAGGTATCCACACGGTAGAGGGAATAGCAGTAGACTGGATGGGAAATAATCTTTACTGGACAGACGATGGACCAAAGAAGACTATCAGTGTTGCCAGGCTGGAGAAGGCTTCACGGACCCGCAAGATTCTCATTGAGGGCAAGATGAGCCACCCTAGAGCCATTGTTGTGGACCCCCAGCACGGGTGAGACTTGAGGGAGGGGCTGTTAACTTAATGAATCTTCTTTCCATCAGCATTCAGTTGAGATGAAGTATGTTTTGAGTGCCTTGCAGTTGTGTGGGCTGCTTACACGGTAGGTTTTTGTTTGACTCGCTGGTCACATTTATGTGTAGGAGCTGGCAGGTTTTCAAGAGATTCTTTTCTTTTAGATACTCCCTCATTTGTTTTGTTGTGGGATGTTGCATCAAAGAGCATCACAGCGTAAAGCTATATTTAAGAGGTTCTGCAGTTCAGATCCAGAAATGTCTCACCTTTCGAATGTGGTAATACCTCACCTTGTCTCCCAGATGGATGTACTGGACTGACTGGGAGGAGGATCCCACAGAGAGCAACAGAGGCAAGATCAAGAAAGCATGGATGGATGGTTCGCATCACCAAGTGTTCCTCACTAGCAAAACTGTCCTGTGGCCCAATGGGTTGAGTCTGGACATTCCCCAGGGAATCCTGTACTGGGTGGATGCTTACTACGACCGCATTGAGATGGTTTACCTAAACACCACTGAGCGAAAGGTTGGTGAAACTCTGGGACTATGTCGTATGTGTTGTCTGATTACAATTTTATCCTACTAGAATTGGAGATGCATTCTCGATTTAACAGGTGGTGTATGAGGGGCAGGAGCTTAACCATGCCTTTGGCTTATGCCACTACAAACAATTTCTGTTTTGGAACGAGTACCGCGGTGGCAGCATCTACAAACTGGACCAAGTCACTAAAACAGTCACTCTACTCCGCAATGAGAGGCCGCCCATATTTGAGATCAGAGTGTACGATGCACACCAGCAGCAAGGTACGTATCCTTCTACTTATTTTTTCCCTTTTCCCATTAAATATAAGATGACGTGACACTGTGTTGCGTCTCTTCCCACTTTGACTTCGTGTAGGAACCAACGCGTGTCGAGTCAACAATGGCGGCTGCAGCAGTCTGTGCCTCGCCATTCCTAATGGCAGATCCTGCGCCTGTGCTGATGATCAGATCCTTGATGGCAATAACGTTACTTGCAGAGGTACCTAGCTGTCTTACCAGTAGAACATGATAATGCTTGGCAGTACAAGAGATGAGTTAAAAACAAAATCCACGCTTTGCTTTCAATTTGCAAGATTTTAAATGTTAGTGTTTCCAAATGTGTGCAGAAATTCTGACTAAGCTCCGTCAATATTTTTATAACTTTAAGAGCTGACTAACAAAAGCCGACTTGGTCACTAAAAAGCTTTTGTTCACATGCTCGCTTCTTGTCTCAATGGCTCATCTGTTTCTGCTCCTACCCCTGATCTCCTCTCTAGCCAACCCCGCCTACGTTCCCCCACCCCAGTGCCAGCCTGGGGAGTTTGCTTGCAAGAACAACCGCTGCATCCAAGAGCGCTGGAAGTGTGACGGGGACAACGATTGTCTGGACAACAGCGATGAAGCCCCTGAGCTCTGCTGTAAGTGTGCTGCATCATTGTCATGGTTACACAGCAACACAAAGATAAACAAAAGGGTGTTTAAGGGTCTTAGCTAACGCAACCCGACAGAGGGCAAACTAAAGTTTCCAACATCTGTCTCTTTCCATGCGGCGTTTACGTGCCTGCTAACTCTGACATCATGAGTCGATACCGAAAAGCAAAGGGTCACATTTGACTCGAATGTTCTCCATTTGCTTCTTTGACAGACTTTGAACTGTTTTCTAAGATTTTGTTCTTTTCTGTTTCTTCCCCCAGACCAGCACACCTGCTCAGCCGAGCGATTTAAATGCCAAAACAATCGTTGCATCCCCCTGCGATGGCTGTGTGATGGTGACAATGACTGTGGAAACGATGAGGATGAATCGAACACCACCTGCTCTGGTATATACAAGCTGAGTTGCATCTAGTTCGGAGAGCATACAGAAAGGGAGAAAGAGAGTAAATTCCAGACCATACAGCTGTGCTCATATCGGAAAAGAGTAATGCAGTCATCAGAGGATGACTCCGCTTTAAAACTGTTTTAATTGGAGGAAGCATGTAAGAGTAAAGCGATCCAAAGTGATCTGTTAGTTTGCATTTAGTCATGCAGCAGATGCCAGCAACAATCTACAAAGAGTTCAGGAAGATGTATAAATCTTTAGCACCATTAGTTAAAGCTCTCTGAGTGTGTCAGATAGATTGAGTACTTTTTGAGGCAATTTCGCATGGTTTGATTCTGTAACAGCGCAGACCCTAAAAAATAAGCAGAGAACAAATGTATAATTTCCCCTTTCAGCTCGCACATGTCCACCCAACCAATACCCCTGTGCCAGTGGGCGCTGCATCCCCATCTCCTGGACATGCGACCTTGATGATGACTGTGGAGATCGCTCAGATGAACCTGATTCCTGTGGTGAGTCTTTATTGCTCTTTCATTTTGTTGCTCTTCGTTGAATATCACATTTTTCTCTATAAATATTTTTTAAATACACTCCTCTTTTGCTCCCTTTCCGCAGCGTATCCAACCTGTTTCCCTCTCACCCAGTTCACCTGCGCCAATGGCCGCTGCATCAATATAAATTGGCGCTGTGACAACGGTGAGTATCATCCCTCCCTTCCCCACCTGTCACGCTGTGCTGTAGAATCCAATCTAAAAATCTTGCGTGTGTGCGCTGATGTACAGACAATGACTGTGGAGACAGCAGCGACGAAGCAGGCTGCAGCCACTCTTGTTCCAGCGTCCAGTTCAAATGTAACAGCGGCCGCTGCATCCCAGAATACTGGACCTGCGACGGCGACAATGACTGTGGAGACTACAGTGACGAGACTCATGCCAACTGTACCAACCAAGGTAATTTAGCTCAAACTGAAGTAGTCCTGCTCTAACTTGTTTTTGTTATGGTAGTGTCTGCTCTCGTGTCTTGTAGCTGAGTCAGGTTCTCGTTGTCATTTATCAAAGATGCTATCATTATATTTACAGGTTGCTATTTGCACTCATAAAGGGGTTGTCACAACATCAACACGTGTTTAGCTTCTCCCTATCCCACTTCCTGTACTCCACATGCCCCTACATGCTCTCCAGCTTCCTCTGATCCATTTCTGTTGCTATGTTTTGTGGTTAGACAACAAATCTCATAACTCTTTCATGGTGTCGTGCAACTAGCACAGATGTTTTGACTGTGCTGTAGCGATATGAACTTACATGTTTGGAGTGTTTCCTCAGGGTGTGCTGCTTTTTCATATGAACGACATCACATCTCAGTGTTGCACAATTACCTTTAGCCTTGCTCTGCCTAGAAGCTCCTGTGAACTGTGAGTGTCCGATGTTGTATGTACCGTTTGATCCATGCCGAAATGCTGTTAAGTCCCAGCATGCAAAATCCGGGCCCAGCATGACCTGCTGGTCTAATGAGCAATCTGTGCTCTGTTGTGTGTGCCCGGCTGCGTGTGTTTGCGAGTTCTCTTGGCTGCCATCTGGAAGTTATTAAGTGAAATAAAATAAAACGGTTTCATCACTTTCCCCTATTATATATTGTGGTCCTGTGCCGCGAGGAGTCCAGTTTTATTTAGCTGTGCCGAACGCTGTCATAAGGAGATGTCACTGTGCCGTTTCTGCAGCGATGCGTTTAATCTCTCTGCTACAGTCAGTGAGCCGTGTGTGTTATTGTTATTTGGGTTGGCTCAGAGTCAGGTTGTCACCCAGCATCCCAGGATACCTGCACAATAACTAATGACTGTAACGGCCTTTTCTTTCTCATCCCAGTTTTTTTGCTTTTGTTTTTTGGGCATCTGTTTGTGTGGTCTTTGTAGCTGTGAGCTGGGATTTCTGTTTTGTTCGTGTTTGATTGCTTCTCTGCACACACCATCACTTTTGCTGGCTAACTATGACATTTTGTCTCTCTAGCAACCCGACCTCCAGGTGGCTGCCACGGAGACGAGTTCCAGTGTCGCATGGACGGCCTGTGCATTCCCAAGCGTTGGCGTTGCGATGGCGACACAGACTGTATGGACCTGAGCGATGAGAGCAACTGCGAGGGCTTCACTCAGACTTGTGACCCTGCAGTCAAGTTCAGCTGCAGGGACTCTGGTGAGGAATTTGCCAGATGCTAGTTAAGGGTGAACTTTTTGGACAGTATGAATAAAAGATGTGATTATTTGTTGTGCAAGAAAGCAATGAAATGCTTTATCACAGGAGGAAGAGAAAGTGGAAGATTTACTGACTGTCATGGATAATGTTCGACTGTTGCCACTGGTTTCCATTTTGTCATCAGGATTACATAAAAACTGGAACTTGGAAATCACCGTTTTTTGTGCTTGTGTCAATATAAATGCTGATGTGACTGTATTTAACTGTAAACTGTATTTAATAGAGGAATATAATAGAGATTGCCTCCAGACATATGCAGTGATGTAAAATAGCAGTGCTTTCACTCATAAATGATTTTTGGATTTTCCTACAAGAAATGTGAGTTAAATAGAGATTCTTAAAATTTTTTATAAACTTAATTTATTAACTGTTTTTTTTTTTTAATTTATTTCAAAACTGCTACATATAAGATTTGTCCTAAATTTCTAAAAGACTTCTCTTTACTTTGTGGACAAGTTGCAAGTTAGACCACGATTCGCTGTCAAAGCAGCTGCGATGTCACAAATACAGCTTCCAGATGTGACGTTTAGTGTGCTCAAACAAAATGTACAAGTTTAAAAGAAGATCATCATTCTGTCCACTCGGTGCCGAAGCAGCATTGACCAAAATGTATTTTTGAACGGTGCGCTAACTAAATGACACAAGCTTAAAAATGAGTATTTTGTGGTGTTTTTCAGCTCGCTGCATCAGCAAAGCCTGGGTGTGTGACGGTGACAGTGACTGTGAGGACAACTCGGATGAGGACAACTGCGAGGCATTGGTGTGCAAGTTGTCTCACCACGTGTGCGCTACCAACGACTCCATCTGTCTGCCTCCCGAGAAGCTGTGTGACGGCACAGACGATTGTCCGGATGGTTCCGATGAGAAACTTTGTGGTGAGAATATTCTGGAAAAACTTTGAACTCAGAAAGCACAACATCTGTTCAATGTTATGTTGTGATTTAACTTACAATTTAACATTCAAAACACCTTTCTGGATAAACTCCAACCCTTTCATTTTATTTCTTGCCTGCAGACTTGTGTTCGCTGGGCAATGGGGGTTGTAGTCACAACTGCAGCATTATTCCCGGGGAAGGCTTCATGTGTTCTTGTCCCCTGGGCATGGAGCTGGGAGCTGACAACAAGACCTGCCACATCCAGAGCTTTTGCGCCAAACATCTCAAGTGTAGCCAGAAGTGTGAACAGGAGAAATCTAGTGTCAAGTGCTCCTGCTACGAGGGCTGGGAGCTGGAGTCTGACATGGAGAGCTGCAAAAGCACCGGTAGGCCCCCCACGTCATGCAGAGATTTTTGTCTCACTTTGCTTTACACTATTAGAGGATTTACTCCACTAATAATGTTTCTTCAGAAGGCTGAGCAGCCAGCATTTTGACATATTTATAACTAGAAATGTTATGTGGAGCAAATGTGTGAGATGTGACAGGATTTGATCCATGACCAACGTGGGGTTTTCATGAATTTGGGATTTGGTTTTTCCGTACGCTTTGCTGAGTGAGATTTCTTTTCTCCTTCAGATCCCTTCAAGCCTTTCATCATCTTCTCCAATCGCCATGAGATCAGAAGGATTGACCTTCATAAAGGAGAGTTCAGTGTGCTTGTACCAGGCCTTAGAAACACCATTGCTTTAGACTTCCATCTCAACCAGAGCACCCTGTACTGGACTGATGTTGTGGAGGACAAGATCTATCGTGGGAAACTGTCTGAAAATGGAGGTGAGTTAGCTTGTTGTGTTCTCTCTTTTTTTTTTTTTTTGCTCTGATTTTGTATCTTATAATCTTTTTGTTAAAGTAAAACAAAAATCTTGCAAGATGGTGATTACATAAGCAAATCGTGATTTTGACCGAGCATTTCGTGGAAATTAACTTCCACTGAACAAATACGCTCTAATTTCTGAGAGCCAATTGTTTTTTCAAAGAGGCTGTGGTCAGCAGTGGTGGTCTGTGACCCTGAATAAATCCCGCAGGTCATGGTCAGCCTTTCGTGCTCCAAAAACCCAGGTCTGCTCGCCAATCAAATTGTGTTCTCAGCGCAGCACTAAGGGGGCACACGGAAGGCTTTGTCTCTTCCTATTTGTCTCAGTACTTGCTGTGCCTGACTGCAGCCAAAACACTGATGTAGCGTAGGAGGCACAACACACTGCTGTTCCAGTTCCCAGCCCTCCAAGTTTAACATTAAAACAAGGCTCCTGAGCAGGAACATTGTGACCAGCTCATAGATCACCTCCTGCTGCTTGTTAAGTAGGTCATTTCAGCAGCTCCAAAGTAGTGGGCATAAACTGGGTAGTGCCAGCGCCTTAATAAAGGAACCCTGGCCCACACAAAGACACATAAAGGCAGATATCACTCCACTGTTCTTTCAAGCACACTGCAAAGACATACCCGTCTCGCTCTAATTACTACTGGAAGGCATTTTGAAGACATGTGTGCTTTAACCCGGAGCCAAAGATTGATCACAAGTTGTGGTTTTTACTTAGTTTGCACTAAAGCCAAATGTTTGAGGTCTTGTGTGTTTTCTTAGATGTGGGGTTTGATCTGTCTTCAGGGGTGTTTGTGATAAATGTGCCATCTTGAGATTTTCTCTCTTTTAGTCAAAGTAACACAAACCATGCTCCCCCCCCCTTCTTAAAACTTTGCTAGCATTAAAATTTCACATGCTATAAAATTGTCATGTTTGATGTGTAGCTTTAAAATAAAAATCTTCAAATTTTCCATACGGATTTTCTCTGCTCCGGTCAGCCCTGACCAGTTTTGAGGTGGTGATCCAGTATGGGCTGGCTACTCCAGAAGGCCTAGCTGTGGACTGGATAGCAGGAAACATTTACTGGGTGGAGAGCAATCTGGACCAGATTGAGGTGGCCAAACTGGATGGGACCATGAGAACGACCCTGCTAGCCGGCGAAGTGGAGCATCCCCGGGCCATCGCCCTAGATCCTCGAGATGGGTAAGAACCATATATGAATGGATTCCAAACTTGGATATATATCTGATGGATATATTCATCCTACTGTTTCTTTCATTAACCAGTTCTCATGCGATGATGCTGTACACATCTGTAAAATCCCTCCTCACATTGATCATTTTCTGTCGCCAGTATCCTGTTTTGGACTGACTGGGATGCAAGTCTGCCCAGAATTGAGGCAGCATCCATGAGCGGTGAAGGCAGACGCACCATCCACAGGGAGACCGGCAGTGGTGGGTGGCCCAACGGACTCACTGTGGACTACATGGAAAGACGCATTGTCTGGATTGATGCCAGGTAGCATCTGCCACTAGATTCTAAATATACGGCTCAGGTTGCACCGCATCTACCCACTTGCTTATTCCATCACCCACTCGCTCAGTTTTCTTCATCTCTGGCTGCTACGCCAGTGTTTTGTTCTTTGCTCACAACAAACTACATTTAAAGAGCAAATAAATAACATGAACATACTTAACCTGATATGTCTCTGCTCTTACATACTATACATCTCTCTGTTGTTTCTCAAGGTCGGATGCTATCTACTCAGCAATGTACGATGGCTCGGGGCTGATTGAAGTGTTGCGGGGTCATGAGTATTTGTCCCACCCCTTTGCTGTCACTATGTACGGAGGCGAGGTCTACTGGACTGACTGGAGGACTAACACTCTGGCCAAAGCCAATAAATGGACAGGACACAACGTTACTGTGGTGCAGCGCACCAACACGCAGCCCTTTGACTTGCAGGTCTATCACCCATCCAGGCAACCCCAGGGTATGTAGCATACCAGATAAAGAGGCATAGACATTCACAGAGAAACACATGCTTGCATAGGCAGAGCGACCGTGTCACACATTTACCCCTGCTTGTCAGCATAGCTGAATGTTTTTGGGCTGTAACTCTAAGGAGAAGGGTGGCGAGCTCACAGTTCATTGCTCACCATGTTATTCATGGCTCCTGTTCCCCCAAGACAGCTGACCTTTTAGACCTGCGAGACTTCTTGTCTCCTCACACTGTGAGCGTTTTGGACACCTCCCGCTTTTGCCTTGTTGATCAAAAAGTCACCTCACTGTTTGGCATTTCCCACGGCCCGGGTAGGAAATAAAATCCTCCCCCTGCAACTTAAATGTCATATGTTGATCTGATCTCACAGACATGCATGATTGACAAGATTGCAAAAGGGTCGTCGGATTTATTTTTGAGCGTTTTGCCATGTCGCACTGTCACCTTGTTTAGTAGCCAGTGGTTAGGGGATCCCAAGGGTATGTGGGCAGTAGAGAGGCACTGGGTCTGTAATTGAAAGAGGGATCTCACAAAACTGTTGATTGACAGTTGCAACCAATAACTATGACAGTGACGAAGCAGCAAGCTGGGTTGACAGACCTGGAAGACAAAGGAAATGGGAAAGTACTTTACACTGCGGGCCACCTTTACCCTTTCACACACACATTTATACTCCGCTCTTGGCCCTTGGAGGGTTGGGGGTATTTCTATTGTCTTAAACTATGTCTGTTTCGGCTGTCCTTGATAAATAATAGCCAGTGTAAAATAACTGTGATGATATTGCTTCATACACTGGTCACAGTTTGAAATTTGCAATTGTTTTATGACGAATGATAGCCTGAGCCCAGAATTTAGGATGACCGTCTCACACCATGACTGTTGCTGCTGCCTATGTGAATGAAATGACTGCAGCATGAAATGGCAATCTGACCATATCTATGGTGCTATTGTGGGGGAAAAAAGCTAAACTAAAACCTAAACTAAAATAAAAATGGAAAACAAAATATTTGGAATTCCAATGCAGAAGAATGTGTAGCTGAGTTGTAGCAGAAGAAGCCTTGTTTGTACAACGAGTTCTCCAGCTGTTATCATAATCCTGTCAAGAGGAAGTAGCTTAGAAGCAAATAGTGGAGGAGCTGCAGCTGTGCAACCCACGATCTCACTCTTACACTGTACAGTCTCCATGCATCTAACTTCATGTCCTGCACAAGTTGAATGATGCACATTGTAATGAATTTATATGTTTTTTATAGTCACGCAGTCTGTGGACTCCTTAAGGCACAAATCTTTTTTTTTTCCCCACTTAATTACCTTAAAGACCAATAAATAAAGAGTAAAAGGTTAATTTAATTCCTCTGACACAAGCAGGCTCCAGCATGTCTCAGTGTAACACCACAATGCAGAGTTATTAGTATTATATTCACTGAAATCTTCAAAGCTCACTGTGAGCCTCCTCTTCCTGTGTTTCTCACAAAACACATCTCCTCTGCATTTTTGTCTCTCTTGCTTTCTTGAAACATCCTAATTAATGTTTTTCCTTTCCTTCCTTTCAGCCCCCAACCCATGTGCCCCCGCTGACGGTAAACCCCTTTGCTCCCACTTGTGTCTCATCAACTTTAACCAGACCTTCTCCTGCGCCTGTCCTCACCTCATGAAGCTGCAGCCCGACAAGTACACCTGCAAAGGTAAGGACAGACCCGTTGTTTCACAGCAGAAAAGCGCACATCACCCACATTCTTTTTCCCCTTACCTTTTCAAATCCGCTGTGATGGAGGATATACAGACAGCGCTGTCACATATAATCCATTTCATCAAGGAGGGAGAGAGGGGCTTTGTGTTTGCTGGAATCTTTTCATGCAATTGTTTTGACTGCTACGGTGAGCCGTGTTGCTGAACAGGATATCTTTTCTGATAGAAGATCTGATTACGTCGCCTCCGCTTGCTCCATATTCCCTTCTTAGCTTTCAGTTCCATGTAATTTCATATAAAATCCTGTCACTAAAGATGAAGGGAAGTCTTCATTCGTTGCAGTTTGATTGCACGAGTGGGTTTCATGATGGTTTCGAAGGGTAGCTGTGGGGAATTTTTGTACACGTGTGCAGACGCTCTCTTTTTCATCACCTCATATTTTTGCATTTCTCCAAAAATGATCCAAACATGAGCCATTTAGATGTAAAAATAATTGGATGCACTTATATTCCACTCTGAACCAATTAAAATAAGTTTGGACCAAACTTTCTAATTCAGTGCTTAAAATCATTTGTTGTTTATGCTGATTATGCAAATTTTCAGTTTAGCAGGTGATATTTTATCTCTCTTAAGTATAAGAAGTAAAAACCTAACCCTGCCTAATTCCTTATTTAGAATGTATGTAGCTGAAAAAGGGGTGTTTATGCCTAATATGGAATTTCAACTTCAAGTCATTCTAAATCTTTCCTGACGTCTTCATTTCCAACATTGGAGTTGGAAAAACTGACATGTCTAATTTTACATGTTTAAAAAAAACAGCCTGAAATATGCATTTTATTCCTCTCTTTCTAGTTTTGCATTCCTGCTAGAATAACGTGCTTTAGTAGATCTCATCTCATCCAGTGTTTGTTTCTCTTTTCCAGAGTCTCGCAAGTTCCTTCTTTACGCTCGTCAGATCGAGATCCGAGGTGTTGACATTGACAACCCCTACTATAACTACATAATCTCCTTCACCGTGCCGGATGTAGACAATGCGACAGTGGTGGATTATGATGCTGTGGAGCATCGGATCTACTGGTCAGATGTGCGAACACAGACCATCAAGAGAGCTTTCATCAATGGCACAGGGGTGGAGACTGTGGTCTCTGCTGGTAAGAACAGTCTCAGGAATATCCGTCAATCCGTGATTTATTTACTTCTTTGCTTTTCTTTGTTTTTTTTTAAAATAAGGCTCATAATTTAATATTCGCTGTAAAGTATAATAAGAGGGTTTGGGAAGATAAATAAAAACAGTTTTTGTTAGCACGCTGCATGTTCTAAAAATCTGCAAAGCTTCATTTTGCTTCTGAAATTTGGCAGACCTTCCTAATGCCCATGGCCTGGCAGTAGACTGGGTGTCCAGGAACCTCTTCTGGACCAGCTACGATGCCAATAAGAAGCAGATCAATGTGGCCAGACTGGATGGATCTTTCAAGAATGCCGTCATCCAGGGACTGGACAAGCCCCACTGTCTAGTGGTCCACCCTCTGCTTGGGTGAGTGTTCCCGGCACTTAATCTGTCTGCATTCAGTTTAATATGTCAGTTATTTCTCCTAATATTACTCACTTAAAGATTGAAAGGTTTTTCTTTTGTTGTTTACTTCTAGGTTATTTTTTTTTATTCCCTTCAAGTTTAGTCTTAATCTTTGATCTACTTTATCCTTGTTTAGTACTGTACCGGTACTCTTCTTGCCTCTCTCCATATTTCATAATATTCACACTCCCATCACAGGAAGCTTTACTGGACTGACGGTGACAGTATAAGCATGGCTAACATGGATGGCAGCAACCGCACCACACTTTTCACCAACCAGAAAGGACCAGTAGGTGAGCAGATGTACCCCTATCAGTAAATAATACAGATTCTCTACAGAGTAAAAGCCCAGAACAAACATGTTAGTGTAGCACATATACTATACATAAATAACAGCATGATTTTTATTTGCTTTCAGGCCTCTCTGTTGACTATGAAAAGGAGCAGCTGTACTGGATCAGCTCAGGAAACAGCACCATTAACCGCTGTCAGCTGGATGGCTCTAAACTCGAGATCCTTGAAGGTGTTAAAGGCAAATTGACCAAAGCGACTGCGCTGGCTATTATGGGTAAGAAGAAAAGTGTAATACTTTTAAGTTTATCATCCTTGTCCTCTGTATATTTATCATTTTTCTGTTGGCTTATATTCTGGTTACATCAATTATGTAGGAGACAAGCTGTGGTGGGCCGATCAGGGAACTGACCAGATAGGAACATGTAACAAGAAGGATGGAGGAAACTGGAAAGTTTTGCGAAACAACACCTCCCCAATGATGCACATGAGGATCTATGATGAGGATGTGCAGAAAGGTAACAGAAAAAGAGTTACATGTTCTGAAGTGGATGTAAAGTCTCCTGCATTTAATGCAAATACTAGTAAAGAAAATGTTTGTCTTTGTTCCTCTGATCTTTTCTTTAGCCGGTGTCAACCTGTGCAGTAACAACAATGGTGACTGCTCACAGCTGTGTTTGCCCACCTCTCCGACAACCAGGGCCTGCATGTGCACTGCCGGATACAGCCTCAAGACGGGCCAGCAGTCCTGTGAAGGTAAGACACGGCTACAGTAACTAGAGTAGGAAAACTGGGAGAAGTGCATCGTGAGGCGAGAAATCAATAACCTAATCTCTCTGAGCAGGCATGGGCTCTTTCCTGCTTTACTCTGTTCACGAGGGAATCAGAGGAATTCCTCTCGACCCAGCAGACAAATCGGATGCCTTGGTGCCGGTTTCTGGAACCTCTCTGGCTGTTGGCATCGACTTCCACGCTGGTGAGTGACTCTAAGGGACGTCGAATAGATAACCCAGCTTGAGTGATATTTTTAAACCCGTTTTTGTGTGGTCTTCAGAGAATGACACAATCTACTGGGTGGACATGGGTCTGAGTACCATCAGCAGAGCCAAGAGGGATCAGACGTGGAGGGAAGATGTGGTAACCAACGGTATTGGCAGGGTGGAGGGCATCACTGTTGACTGGATAGCAGGTGTGGTCATGCAAAATGACAATCAAAATTAAACTGCTTAAGTAGAGATAAAAGATGCAGACTGATTGATGGATGTGTTCTTTTACAGGAAATATCTATTGGACTGACCAGGGCTTTGATGTGATCGAGGTGGCCAGACTGAACGGCTCCTTCCGCTATGTTGTCATTTCCCAGGGCCTGGACAAACCCAGAGCCATAGCTGTCCACCCAGTGAAAGGGTAAGGCTCCTCGCCAGAAGATTCATTTTGCTTTCTGTAATAATGCTGCTTTAAGTTACTTGGCGTGTATTCCCAAGCATACTTCTTCCTCTGACTAAAGTTTCAAATACTCCCCTGCTTCTTTGGCTGCAGGTATTTGTTCTGGACTGAGTGGGGTCAGTATCCTCGTATTGAACGCTCACGACTGGATGGCTCCCAGAGGCTGGTCATGGTCAATGCGAGCATAAGCTGGCCAAATGGAATCTCCATTGATTATGAGGTGTGAACAACAACTGACCGCACTTAAAATCTTTCACACACTTGGCTTTATTAATAGAGGGTGTTTCCAAATTCTAGTGTGCTAATTTATACTGTGATAGATACTTCCAGAGACTGGACTGTTGATCAGCTGATCTTTAAATGGATGCTCTTTCTTATGCCAAAAAGGTCTTTGTTTATTTTGAATATTAAAGTGGTAAAAATTAAAATACAGTGAGACAACATTCTCATTTGATCATTTCTAATCCAAATCCAAAACATTTTTTAGATTTTGAAAGGACTTTCTCTTGGATTCATTTTTTAAATAAAGTTTAAAAAGGATCTTTAAACCTTTTTTATTCTTTGGAGCGTCTTATCCAGTCTGGGAGTTTTATTAAAAGCCTAAAAGCTGTTAGACATTTAAAATTATAATTTAAACATTTCTTAATGTAAATGGTAATAATATTTTAAGAATAATGAGAATTTATTTTTAAATCGGACTCACCTAAATTCACTTGATATTCACTAAAAGCTTACATTACAAACTGGTTATCAGCTAACTGGTCTCCCAAATACAGGTTCAATTGAAATGAAAATTTAAGGATTTTGGTCTGTCCTGAATAATCACAGTTGTTGTTTTTTTACTTCCTGTGCTCAGGAGGGTCTGCTGTATTGGTGCGACGCCAGGACAGACAAGATCGAGCGCATCAACCTGGAGACTGGAAAAAACAGGGAGCTGGTTCTGGGCAACAACAACATGGACATGTTTGCTGTATCTGTATTTGAGGAGTACATCTACTGGAGTGACAGGTCAGTCTTTATGTTGTTTTGAACAATACTTCATATTGTAAGAGTGTTCATTTACTGACTGTTTTATTCTTGTTCTGGTTGTTTTTAGGACCCATGCTAATGGCTCCATTAAGAGAGGCAGCAAAGACAACGCCACAGATGCTGTGCAGCTCAGGACAGGCATCGGTGTACAGCTCAAAGATATTAAAGTCTTCAATAGAGCCAGACAGACAGGTAAAACAAACACATATTATCATAAGCTTAAAAAAGTTGCTTTTACTGTTGAAAATGTCCTAATAAGATGGCAGCTGCCTAACAATGACAAAATGAATCGCCACCCTTAGCATTTAACCGTGTTCAGTGTTCGTGTAACAGCAATGCTAATAAGCTGTGTGACTCTCTCCACAGGCTCGAACGTCTGCAAAAACAACAACGGCGGCTGTGAACAGCTGTGTCTTTTCCGTGGGAATGGGGAGCGCACCTGCGCCTGTGCTCATGGCATGCTGGCAGAGGACAACCAAAGTTGCCGTGACTACGACGGCTACCTGCTGTACTCCGAGCGCACCATCCTGAAAAGCATCCACCTGTCCGACGAGACAAACCTCAACGCGCCCATTAAGCCGTTCGAGGATCCCGACCACATGAAGAATGTCATCGCTCTCAGCTTTGACTACCATGGCGGGGGAGGGAGGGGAGCCAACCGCGTCTTCTTCAGCGACATTCACTTTGGCAACATCCAGCAGATCAATGACGACGGCACAGACCGCAAGATCGTGGTGGAAAGTAAGTGCGGGGTCATCAGATGCATTTCGCGTTTCTGTCAAAGCGTCAGGAAAACTTTACGTTTTGCTGCTCTTAAGACTTCCCCACCTCTGTTGACAAATATTTCTGCTGCGTTGCTCTTTGCTGCCATATTTTTTAAAATCCTCTCCATTAATAATTGAATGTTGTCCCCTCTACGGTGTCAGCAGACACAATACAAGCATCCGGGAGGATCCGGTGTAATGAACACGCAGCTGTAACTCAACCAGTAGAGGCTGACATCACTTCAGAGCTGCCACTGCTTGCGCACACCAACACCCACGCCCTGGTTTTTGCTTGTTTCACCACTGAAGAGCCTTTTAAATCCCGCTCTCTTTAAATAATTCAAGAGTGAAGTATCATATTTAAAAGCCCTGGACCAGAGCTGTTCACATCTAACAAGATTCAAAAAATGAATTATTTTGTTAAGTACAGCAGGAGAACAAGGAAGGTGCACAGGGTTTGTGTTTTTACTCATTTTGCATTGAGAACAAGGGTTTGAAGCAGTTTTAAGAACGACGTCTTACATCGTGTACTGAATGTAGAACTTATTGAGCTCCAAATAAGCTCCAGCTGAGGTTAGAGGAGCGTATTTTATTAACTTTTGACATGATTACATAATCCCATTCTGTCATGTTTTAGAGACGTCTGTTGTCCAAGTTATTAACTAAAACGCACTGTTAATGAAACCAAGACTAGTCCTGTTTCCACATGTGCTAATGGAATAAAGTCAGTCATTGCTGGATGAAAAACGAATGTGGAAAAACATCAAGAAAGTGATCACTTTGCAGTAAATCTCTTACATCTGGAATTAATTTTATCATATTTAACGTCACTGAGAGTTTCTTATGTAATATTTCAGCCTGTTTGGAGGTATTAACTAGTCTTAATTCCAGATCTCCTTCTGTAAAGTCAGTTTTGGCCTCTCCCTGAGGTACTGTCCTCCTCAAAAGGCCGTACCATGTCTCTGCTCATTGCATAAGGGCAGCCACTCACACAGTTTCTGCACCGTGCCCATTGCCTTCTTCCAAGCTCTAGTAAGTCTCGCCTAAACTTCTGAGACACAAAGCTGTAGAGTAGAGGGTTTACCACACCCACTGAGGTTGCCAGCAGCCTGGCCACGATGGCAAATACTTTGTTGCCAGATGAGTCTTTTAAATGTCCTCCAATTAAGGAAAACATGAGGACATAGGAGGGCAGCCACAGGATGGTGAAGACGGCGACCAATAGGGCTGAAGTGTGAGTGACTTGTCTCTGGTAGCGTTCTAGCTGAGGGGCATTCCCCACCTGGCGTGCATATCGAAGAAAACAATAAATCTTTGCATACATCATTATAATGATGCCTAGTGGCAGAGCGAAGCCAAACAGGAAAAGGGCGATGCTGTAGACCAGCTGGCTGAAGTCAGACAGGAAGGCGAAGCACTGCACAACACTGGACACGGTGACTGTGCGAAATGCAAACTGTGGTGCTGCCAGAGCTGAGGCAGGCACCCAGAGCAGAGCTACTGTCAGTTTAATGCGCCTGTGCATTCGCAAGCGGAAGGCCCAGGTGGGGTGTACCACTGTAAGGTAGCGAGTCACAGCCAAAGCTGCCATGGTAAATACGGAGGCAACCGAGCAGGTCACGCCCAGGAAACTGATAGCTTTGCACAGGAAGCCGCCGAAAGGCCAGAAGCCCAGGGTGATAGCAGAGGTGTGGAAGGGCAGGCAGAGTAACAGCAGCAGGTCAGCAGCGCTCAGAACCAGAAGTAGGATGTCTGTGCTGTGTGGGGGCTGGTTCTGTTTCCTCCTCCTCCTAGTAAGAATGATGATGACCAGAGTTTGCCCTATGAGCCCAGTCAACAGAATCAGCCCATCCAAGATGGGGACTAAACATTTAATCAAAACCTCATCTGTTCCAGTCATTTTGTCCAGATCGCTTCTGTTCATCTGCTGCCCCAAACTCTCCATGCAATCCCCGCCGTAAGTCTGCTAAGTAATTAATTTAATATCTTGTTAATGTTAAGCAGCAGAACAGCTTGTTCACGTAGTCTCTGGGTGTTACAGCTGCTGGCTCCAGTTTCCAGAGGAAAAAAAGACTCCGCCGAGGCAGTTAGTGGTTTCATGGTGATAGTATTAGTTAAGCAGATAAGATCACACTGGTCAGCTGGCTTTCTCACCGACTCACAGGAAAAGGGGAAACAAAACAATGTGCCTCGTTTGCTCAAGAAGAAACAGACTTGACTATATCTGGCACTTGCAGAGTCTTTTTCACACTGTGACTCTTATGGTTTCCGAGCCGCTTGAAGAAATGTAAATCACTTAACGATGGTTGGATATGGTATTCCCCATTTCTGGGAAAATGGATCAGAAAAATGCACTGTTGTTATCAAGCTTTTCTTTTCTTTTCCAGAAAACATGAAAGGATGACCTTAAAGGGCGGTCTTTGCAGAGTTGCATTTCCTTAGCTGCATCAGCTCGTCCTTTATAATGTAGTTACTCTGTGGCTGTATTGATTCTTGAAACCAAGCAACAGTGGACGAATCCATCCCAGTAGCTGCTAGTTGGCATTCCTCTCTAAAGGCAGTCAATGCACTTGACTTAAGTATTCCCGTCAACCGGAGACTCATTGTCCATGTGAAAGCTCTTCAACCTGTAGACTCCGCCGGAAGAAGAGTTGCTCTGCATCTAATGCGGTGCTAAATCCGTTAAGGAAAAAAAAAAAGATGAGGCGTGATGAAAATGAGGGTAACTAACGCTTAGTAATTCTCAGGCGCCACTCGCCCTGCTCTTGTTCTCCCTCGTGAGTGTTTGAAAGACTCTGTTCTGAGAGGTAATCATCTTCCTGTCAGGTTTTCTCTGTTGTTTGCACAGTCAGGGGGCTGAGCTGAATTACCCAGTGGGAGGGTGGGCCCTGGTGATCCTTATTACGTAATCCTGGCTTGAATCAGCTTTACTCATCACTCTTACTTGTTTGTGTGACTGTATTTGGCCCCAAGCTGCTCTTTTGGATTTATTTAAGTCTGTTAACAATGTGTTCAGCCTCAAAATTGTCCTGCATTACTGCTGATTATGGCACTTCGACATTTGTCTATTAAAAGGCAATTAAAGGCTTTCAGCTGAGAGCAAACAGTTATGTAGAGTATCCTTTTTTTTTTATTGTCGGCTGTAAGTGGTCATAAATGTGGTTGCTAATGTAACTAAGCAGAGATGAATGCACACCGTGGAGCCTGCAAGGCTGCAGCACGGTATTCTTTTCCATGATGATGTGTGTCGCGTGGGTACCGAGAGGGGGGAAAAAAGAGGAAAAATCGATGCAGGGGGAAGCTGCTTTGTCTTTACCCTGGCCTTTATCCCTAAAGTGACTCAACCTGTCCCAGTTGCAATTTTCTTCCCAGAGCAAGAGTTCAGAGCTTGAATGAGAGTATCCACATGAAGCTGTGTTTGTATGTGCAGGCGGGTCGCCATAAAATGACACGATGAGACAGACTCTTTAAACTCTGTCCAAGAACAACAGCTGTGACGCACACTCGGTTCTGTATGGCATCACTTCCATTTTACTGTTCCCTGTTTCACTGGCTGCTGCTTCCCCTCTATCTCAATCTTCGTCCATGTTTCACAGTTTATTAGATGATGCATGTGGATGGGGAAACTTAAAAGCTCCACTTCCTCTTTAGTCTCATAGGTGCTCTGTGGTAACACCCTGACAGTGATTTATGATGTGTTGAATTCTCTGTAAAACTCCCACTAATGCCTCTAAGAGGTGATATTTTTTTAGTGTAATCTAAAGCATTTGTTAAGCCTTTTACTTCTCAAAGTGTTGGCCCGACAGCAGGAAAGAACTCAAATCCGAAAAATCATATATTATATTTCCTATCACAGATGTTGGGTCAGTTGAGGGCCTGGCATACCATCGCGGCTGGGATACACTCTACTGGACCAGTTATACAACGTCCACCATCACTCGCCACACTGTGGACCAGAGCCATTCTGTGGCCTACAACCGCAACACCGTAGTCACCATGTCTGGAGAAGACCACCCTCGAGCCTTTGTGTTGGACGAGTGTCAAGAGTGAGTCATTAATATTGAAATTTGCTGCTCTGCACTAAATCAGGGCCCAGTTCCAAACAATTATTCTTTTTCTCTTAAGCACTGGATTTATTTTTGGCTCAGTCAAGTGTAACTTTCTTTTTCTTTTACCAAGACGTTTTGGGAGCTCCCACTGCTCTTAATTCTTGTTTTCTGTTTGTTCCCACCGTAGTCTCATGTTCTGGACAAACTGGAATGAGCAGGCTCCGAGCATTATGAGGGCCTCTTTGAACGGAGCCAACGTGATCGTGATCATCGGCAGCGACATTAAAACTCCCAACGGCCTGGCCATAGATCATCGCGCCGAGAAACTCTACTTCTCTGACGCCACGCTGGACAAGATCGAGCGCTGTGAATATGATGGAAGCAACCGTTACGTAAGGCGGCGCTTTCCTTTTTGTTTGTTTGTTGTTTTAACTTTCCCTAAAACATGGACTTGCTCCTCGTGTTTATGGAATTACACCTGCTGTTTTTTATACCTCAGGTTCTGCTGAAAAACGAGCCCGTCCATCCGTTCGGTCTCGCTGTGTACGGAGATTACATCTTCTGGACTGACTGGGTGAGGAGGGCTGTCCTCAGAGCTGACAAGTACACTGGAGGAGACATGAAAGTGCTGCGTGCTGACATCCCTCAGCAACCAATGGGCATCGTTGCTGTAGCTAATGACACCAACAGCTGTGAGTATCACCACTGCTGCAATTTGGCCCCATTGCCATCAGGTCAACATTTTAATTTGCCCAGTAATTTGATTTACGTTTATATAACTGCAAAACGAATGAAATTCGGCTGTAGTTTGTTTAGTGTATGACACTGTGGCAGGTATCATGTTTACTGGCTGCATTATACCTGCATGTGCACACGTTGCCAGGCTGCTAACACTTAGCTGTAAGTTGAGGTATACAGAGCTGCTGCCATGTATTTAATAAAAACCCAACTTCCACAGGCTTTTAAATATTGCCAAGCTAGAGAGTTCATGCAAATGTTCATAACTGCAAGAAATGTAATATCAGCATGCTTGTCAGTCATTCGACGTGCAGTTTAAAGAGCTTCTAAAAAAATCCCTCAGGTGAATTTTCTCCTTGCCGAACAAACAACGGAGGTTGCCAGGACCTGTGCCTGCCTACGTCCGACGGCCGGGTCAACTGCAGCTGCCGTGGAGACCGGCAACTCCTCGAAGACAACACCTGTTCTCGTAAGAAAGAGGAAGAATTAAACTTCATAACGTTGCCGTCTTCATCAGAATGGATAAATGTTTCTGAATTCAAACGTTTCTCCCTCACCAGCCCTGAACGTATCATGCGGAAGTGTCGATGGCTTTGAGTGCGGGAATGGTGATTGCATCAACTACAGTCTGACCTGTGACGGCATGGCCCACTGCAAGGACAAGTCTGATGAGAAGCAGTCCTATTGTGGTGAGTTTTTACAGAGCAGTTAGGTGGTGAATTTCAGTTAATGAATAAGTAGCTGCAAGAGATGTTTAAAAAAAAACAAACCTCTGTGCCTGAGCTAAGTCAGCTGGTCCTCCTTCACAGCCAATCGACTCTGTAAGAAAGGCTACAGGCGCTGCATGAACGGCCGCTGCATTGGTCACCACTTCTGGTGTGATGGCACAGATGACTGTGGTGATCATTCAGATGAACTGCCCTGCAACAGTAAGTGGTTTGTTTCCAAAGTAGCAGCTGCACAAAGGATAACAGTCTAAACATTCTCATAGTTTGAATAGTGTCGACTTTTTTCATGACACCTCTGTTCTGCCTGTGGGAATGTTTAAGGAAATTATAAATGTGCTTAACGGAGAGTTTGTGTGTGGTTTTGAGGATGTATTTTCTCTCCAGTTGTCATTTGTGAAACTGCTGTATGTGCTTGCAGTGACACTTTGCAAAGCAGGAGAGTTCCAGTGCAAAGATGGAAGCTGCATCTCCAACTACAGCCGCTGTGACCAGGTGGTCAACTGCGAGGATGCAAGCGATGAAATGAACTGCCGTATGTAACTGCCACGATTTTCAACAATATTTCTTCTTCTTTTTCACAAGTGGACTTCTTAATCAGTATATTAATATCGAATTGACTATGTACTTCAGTGCAATTCGTGTGAAACTATTTTGCAGAATTTAAAGGGCAGCTCCTGAAACTTGTTCCTGTTTTTTCTCAGAACCCACTGATTGCTCCCGTTTTTTCCGGCTTGGAGTTAAAGGAGCCTCTTTCCAAAGCTGTGAGAAAACCACTCTGTGTTATCTGCCCTCGTGGGTGTGTGACGGCAACAATGACTGTGGTGACTTTTCTGATGAAAGAAACTGTCCAGGTAAGTGTTATCTTTCACTACCAAAAGACATTCAGCTTTTCTGAACCTACCAGAGGTTCTTGATTATGTTTTGTTTTCTTTTTTTCTCTGTTGTGTTGCAGATAAGAGGAAGCTTAAATGTCCAGTCAACTTCTTTGCTTGCCCCAGCGGTCGGTGCATTCCTATGAGTTGGACCTGCGATAAAGAGAATGACTGTGAGAACGGGGCTGATGAGACACACTGTGGTCAGTCTTCTGCGAAGTTGTCCTCTAATACCCCTATCTTTATCTTGAAAACACACAAATCATAGCAAAAAGAAAACGAAAAGAAAGCCAGACTGTTTTTCTTTGGGCTTCCCACTGCAGATGGAAAAACACAGCTTAAATGTAATAATGACTGTAAAATGCTCCCCACCCTCTCTTGCAGACAAGTTTTGTACATCCACCCAGTTTGAATGCGGGAACCATCGCTGCATTTCCAGCCACTGGGTGTGTGACGGCTCCGACGACTGCGGCGATGGTTCTGACGAGGACCAGAATTGCAGTATGTGACATTTTGCTCGCTACTTCTCTTCTCACATTCAAAGGAGACCTTAAACTCCATGACAATTCCTGACGTCCTGTCCATGTATGACTTTTACATGATGTCGTTACAGAATCCAAAACCTGCAGTCCTGAGGCTTTCCAGTGTCCAGGCTCCCATATGTGTGTGCCGCAGCGCTGGAAGTGTGATGGAGACAATGACTGTCCTGATGGAGCTGATGAGAGTGTGAAGGCTGGCTGCAGTGAGTGACACAGTTAGCAGATTGAAGAAAAAGTGCAGAGAAGCGATACAGTTCCCCATGCATTAAAAAACAATGTTTCCATCTGCTTCCAGTGTACACCAACAACACGTGTGATCCTGAAAACGAGTTCATGTGCCAGAACAGGCAGTGCATCCCCAAGCACTTTGTGTGCGATCATGACTTTGATTGTGTCGATAAGTCGGACGAATCCCTCGAATGTGGTGAGCTTTCAATCCTGGAAGCTTATTTAGCCTTTTGCTTGAAAATGAATGTTGTTTTTTTGCTAAACCGCCAACTGAAACTGAGATTAATGACAAATGCGTTTTGATGTAGAATATCCGCCGTGCGGTCCCGATGAGTTCCGCTGCGCCAATGGCCGCTGCCTTAACCAGAAGAAGTGGGAGTGCGACGGAGAGTTTGACTGTCAGGATCGTTCCGACGAAGCTCCCAAGAACCCTCGCTGCACAGACTCTGGTATTCATTTCCTCTCTTTCGCTACATCTTTTATTTCTCTGCCAGCATAATAAAGTGTGAATCATATGTGAAATTTCTTGCTCATAAAGACGTAGCCACATCCCGCTTCACGCTCTGATATAACCTGCTATTTGTCTATGATTTCAGAGAGGACGTGCAATGACTCAGCTTTCATGTGCCATAATAAAAAATGCTTGAATGAGACACTGCTGTGCGACCGCAACGACGACTGTGGTGATGGCTCCGATGAACTCAACTGCTTCATCAACGAGTGTCTCAACAGCAAGCTGAGCGGCTGCACACAGCTCTGTGATGACCTCAAGATCGGCTTCAAGGTAACTAATTCATTGTTTGTTGTCAAAAACAAATATCATGACTAATGAAATTATTGCACAGGCTTCATTGGGCCAAAAAGTTTTACTAAAATTCATGGAGTCAACACAGGAAAAACAATGTATATGCCAGTAACGATGAGTCAACGAGGAGCTGATTTTAAAAGGTTGGGATCCACTCACTTCAGGCACGCAGTTATGCAAGACGAAAACATGTTTTGCCTCGTCCTTGGAAGTAGGAGGCCAGTCCTGGATCAGGTTGAACTCTGCGTGAACTCCTGTGTCTGTGGTGGCGAGGTTGTGGTCGGAGCTTAATTTGAAAATGATAAGATTTTGTTCACCTCAAGAATCCTGGTCTGGGATTTCAGAAGTATTGCAAACTGACTAATTATGATTGCACAAAACTTAATTGTATATATTGAAACTTTGCCATCAGAGACTTTTTCACAAATGTGGCTTCCTCTGTGTATTCTGGATGGCAGAGCAGAATTTGTGTGTGTGTTCTTTCGAAACATAGATGTGTTTATTGGAAGTGACAGTTACAACGATTCCGACTAGTAATGAATACGTGTTCTAACCGTTCCTTATGCTGCGATGATGTTCATGCCATATTTATTTTAAACACATATTAATGTCAGCTTATCCTTTACCCCCGTACTCTGTTGGAAGACGACTTTGCAAATGAGATTTGCAGCTATTTACGCAGCACTTTTGACAGCAGCAGCTGGATTTCGTTTTCAGAAAGTGAGCAGAAATAAAGCTTTTGGTGAAAGGTAAAGCGCACATGTCTGTGGCCGATTGAGAGCTGATTGAGACACGCTGGCACGCCTTTGTAACCGGTCCAGGCTAAATGTGAGAAGCGGCCAGAGAAGCGGTGAGATTTTGACACATCTCCTGTGCTTTTGGCACCTTCAGTGCAGGTGTCATCCTGGTTTCCAGCTGAAGCGTGATGGGAAGACATGTGTGGATATAGATGAGTGCACAACCACCTACCCCTGTTCCCAACGCTGTATCAACACACACGGCAGCTTCCACTGTCTCTGCGTCGACGGCTTTGAGCTCAGCCCCAATGACCCCACTGTTTGCAAGTCCACATCGGGTAAGGCACACATACGTGAGTTTCAGTGCGTCTTCACAGCAAATGCACGCCTAAAGCAGTAAAGTACGTTTTCTATGTGATGTATGCGTGTAGATGAAGAGCCCTACTTGATCTTTGCCAATCGGTACTACCTGAGAAAACTGAACCTGGATGGTACCAACTACACTCTTATAAAGCAGGTAAGACACACAGATGACAGTTTAAAGAAACATTCAGTGTTTTTCATTTTTAATATTGCTCCTTCCTTTTCCCCCCCCTCAGGGTCTTAATAATGCAGTAGCACTGGACTTCCACTATGCAGAGCAGATGATCTACTGGACGGATGTGACCACTCAGGGCAGCATGATTCGACGCATGCATATGAACGGCAGCAACATGGAGGTGAGTGAGAACATCTGAAATCCTTTCGTTTTGATTTAATAGTCGAGCAATATTTATTGTGGAATGCTGGATTATTGATGCAGCGAACCCGTGAGTCTCTGATTGGGAACTACATCATCACCATCTTACGTATTGATTGATAAACCTGGCAGGTTTTGCACCGAACCTCTCTGAGTAATCCCGATGGCTTGGCGGTAGACTGGGTCGGTGGAAACCTGTACTGGTGCGACAAAGGCCGAGACACCATTGAGGTGTCAAAACTTAATGGGGCTTACCGAACGGTGCTGGTCAACAGTGGCCTGAGGGAACCTCGTGCAGTGGCTTTGGATGTACGCTATGGGTGAGAAGTTACACTGCAGATCAGCACCAGCTACACTCACTGTTTATATAACTTAAATGTATAATTTCCTAATTATTTCTCATCTAGATTTGAATGTACAACTGTAATTTCAAGATTGTCTTTCTCCAATCTTAGTTATCTTTACTGGTCTGACTGGGGTGACAGCCCTCACATTGGGAGAATTGGGATGGATGGCACTAACAGAAGTGTCATCATAGAGGATAAGATCACCTGGCCCAATGGATTAACCCTGGACTTCATCAATGACCGTATATACTGGGCTGATGCCAGGGAGGACTACATTGAGTTTGCCAGCCTGGATGGCAAGAACAGACACACAGGTAAACAGACCAGTAAACACATTCACTTTTTTAAACTGTTTGACTGGTGGTGCCATATCCTCTAAAGTTCTGAGATTTCAATTGTTTGTTTTTGATTGTTGTATCTGTCTGAAGAAACACCGGCTCTGAACCCACTCGTCATTTCTTTGTATTTTGCTTCTTGTAATTTTTCAGAGTTGTCTTGAAAGTAAATATACAAACTCAATTTTTGTTTCCAGGCGTGTTTGCATGTTTCAATAAATCACAGCACTTATTTCCAGTTTTCCCTCAAAGAAATACGGGTTGTTTCAAGACTTTTGGAAAGTACAGCATGTGAGAGTCAAAATACTCTCATCTTTAGTGCCTTTTTTTTTTGTCAAAGACTAATTATGTAAAACCTCTCAGTAAAAGGCAGCAGCGTGCTATTAAGTGTCACAGTTTCTGTCCATGAACTGATTTAATCTTTTAAATAAATGTGTCAGGGAGCTGAGGAGCTTTAAGTGGTTTATAGATCATAACTCATTTAACAGGATAAACCGTTTATGACAAGACCATAGTGGTGATTAAAGAGGGGTTAGGTTTTCCGGTGAGTAAATTTTGCAGGTTCACATGGAGTTGAAATCTGAGTGACTTTCTTCCGTACACACACACACACACACACACACACACACACACACACACACACACACACACACACACACACACACACACACTTGAGAGACACCAGGCATGAGCAGGCAGGTTACATGGCTGTCTGCTATTCTGGAGTCCTGCAACTCAAGTCCAGAAGACACAAACTGTGAATAGGACAGATTGTTCTGGTAGGAGAGGCCTCTGAGCGTGTGCGATATCTGCATAGTGCTCAGTTGTTTAGTACATGTACTACAATAGCTGGAATTGTTAAACAGCTTAGCATGCAGGAATTCTGGAGTGCATTGGTCATCTGCATTAATACTTCCCACATTTTATAAGTTGTGCTCAAAACTTATAGATAGCATAGGGATAGAATCCTTTTTTCTTTGTTTAGGCATATGCATTAAATTATGAGATAGTTTACAACTTACAGAATAGACTTCCAGCAGAGTGTTGTGCTTCATGAACATTTTTGATCAATCAAGATGAATTGAAGCTTTTTGGCATTGAGAAGTCATCATAAAATGTCACTGACTTCTTTCAGCTCAGCGCTCTAGATTTAATGCATCCTATAAATTATTATTCACCCATCCCTGGATACACATATGCCATAAAACACCAGTGTGCCTCTGTGTGTCTTTGTGCAACAAGACTTGGCCTGTTTGAATTGAGATAAGAATGGATCAAAGGGCAATTAATGTTAATCTCACCAATACCTCAGCTCAACTTGATGCTATAAAAACCGCTATTACATCACAACGTCAGTCGTTTAAGGTGCATTATTCTTTAAAGTCAGCGCTGAAGCTACGGTCTCTCGCCGTCGAGGTATTTTGAACTTGTGCCACACACACAGCATTTGCAAATTTGTCAGCATGTGATGCATTGCTATGGTGTGCTTCCATAACACACAAACACTGAGAGTGAGCATAAAACATATTATACAAGAGCAGGAAAAGTGGTTAATAGTGTAACACCTAATGAGGTGTAGAACCTATTATATAACACAGAGATATGATGCATGTCCGCGCCCCACCCTGCCTCAGTTTGCCATTAACAGTGCAGGATTTTATCAAAGGTTTCTCTTTGCAAAACAGCAACACAGGAGCAGCAAGAGCTTCACATTCTGAATATGTTGACATATTCACATGTATATTTGAGATACAAAACATTCACGTATTTTTTTTGGTGACTGTATTATATGTTGTTTTAAGGCATTTCCTCCAATCAGCCTACTGAAGGCTGCAGTAAGAAACATCCAGAGTGATTTGTCTTCAAATATAGAGTGCGATTTGTTTATTCTTGTGTATCCTCACAGTTCTCAGCCAAGACATCCCTCACATATTTGCCATGACACTGTTTGAAGAATACATCTACTGGACCGACTGGGAAACAAAGTCCATCAACAGAGCTCATAAGACTCTGGGTACCAACAAGACGACCCTGATCAGCACCCTGCACCGACCCATGGACATCCACATTTACCATCCTTACCGCCAACCTCCGGGTAGGAGGAGTAAATGTGGTCTTTTGAACAAGTTTACAGTCTTAGTGCGCAAACTGTTTACTGCTGTTAAGTAACATTTCAGTATTGATTTAGTTTCTGTCTGTGGTGTAATAACTTATTTTCAGTATATTCAAATATATTCCCTACATTAATTCAGATCTAAAACCTAAGGGTTGGGGGTGGAAAAATAAGTGAACCATGTGGTGAAAACATTTTCCCTCTTTTTATCTTTTCCAGTGCTCAACCACCCGTGCCAGATAAACAACGGTGGCTGCAGTAATCTCTGCCTCCTTTCTCCTGGTGGGGGTTATAAGTGTGCCTGTCCCACCAACTTCTATCTGGCAAACGATCAGCGCACTTGCATGTCCAACTGCACAGCCAGCCAGGTAATGATGTAAACATCATTAATGGAAAAATGGCCCATTGATAACTGGCTTTTCATATCTCAGTTCCCCGCTGTGGCCTATTTGATAAACTACTCATGCCTGGTCATTGCTTATTGACAGTTGGCTGGCTGCCCGGTGATACAATACCTAGCTTACGCTTTTGTCAACGACAAATGAGCCAGTGAAGCCCTGATATAATGCCCTATCATCACTTTGATTCACTTCTCTTCCTGTTGCAGTTTGTGTGCAAGAATGACAAATGCATTCCTTTCTGGTGGAAATGTGACACAGAAGATGACTGTGGAGATCGTTCAGATGAGCCAGAAAACTGCCGTAAGTCTTTGAAGAAGATAATTAGGACGTGATGGAGTATGGCAGTCATCTAGCATGCTTTATGCATGCTATACCTTTTGATCTCACCTCAGCCCACAATTTAACAGTGAAATGTTTGTCGGTATGATCTTGAAACACCGCGTGACTTCTACTTCTTCCACGACAGCCGAATTCAATTGCAGACCAGGGCAGTTTCAGTGTGGCACAGGCATCTGCACCAACCCTGCATACATCTGTGATGGAGACAACGACTGCCAGGATAATTCAGACGAGGCCAACTGTGGTATGTGCCTGTTTTTTTGTAATATATGTTCATTTATGTACAAAAATTGTCACTGTTTTATTTGAAATTTTCACAAGAGGACCCAGTATAAGACAGAACAGGGACTGACAGGAAAAACAAGAAATTTTGATAAATAGATAACGTGGAGCAGCAGGAGTCTAAAATCAACATTGACAAAAGGAGAGAACAAGAGAAAGTCTGGAACATGAGGGAGTTGAGATCATGTGATGATTTGACAAAGACTCACACTTTATACACACGATATATTCATTTTTAATCTCTGTCTTATCTCACCGCAGACATTCATGTTTGCCTGCCCAGCCAGTTCAAATGTTCCCACCCCAGCCGCTGCATTCCAGGCATCTTCCGCTGTAACGGCCAGGTCAACTGTGGAGAAGGCGAGGATGAGAAGGACTGCCGTGAGTATACCTACGTTTTCAGGGTTTTTTTCCCCCCTTCTTCTCTCTCTTTTACTCCACACTTACTGCAAACCTGTTATTCCCCCCCATCTCCACCCCACAGCTGAAGTCACATGTGCGCCCACTCAGTTCCAGTGTGCCATCACCAAACGCTGCATACCTCGTGTCTGGGTGTGCGACCGTGACAACGATTGTGTGGACGGATCAGATGAGCCCGCCAATTGCAGTAGGACTCTCACTTTACTCTGCATGTTGTTTATTCTGAGTCATCCTAATTAGCTTTAAGTGTAACTGCCCCCCATATGTTTCCCTTTGCAGCCCAGATGACCTGTGGTGTGGACGAGTTCCGATGCAAAGACTCTGGCCGCTGCATTCCCGCTCGCTGGAAGTGTGACGGCGAGGATGACTGCGGCGATGCATCAGATGAACCGAAAGAGGAGTGTGGTAAATATTGTGTTTTCTTTTTTAAGTAAAAATTCTCTCTCTATTTTTTCTCTTTTTTTGATTTCTTTGGCAATAATAATTTTGTGTCTTGGACAGCTGAGAGGACGTGTGAGCCATACCAGTTCAGATGTAAGAACAACCGCTGTGTGCCGGGCCGCTGGCAGTGTGACTATGACAATGACTGCGGGGACAACTCTGATGAAGACAACTGCAGTAAGTATCACTTTGAGCTTGGAAACAGTCCCTCCATATGTCATTTTACCTTGTCCACTGTCATTTACACTCATGCCCGTGTCTTTTTCACTGGTAACAGCCACTTTGCACCTTTTTAACTCTTAACTGCTACAGCGTTTGTTTGGTGCTAATTCATTGCCCATTTCTCATCTGATTATTTGTTTCATTTCATACTGTCCTGTTGGCATGAGCCAGAGGTAAGTTACTTCATCTCCATAAGAGAACCACTCCCATTTTGAGCACCTTTCTGTATCTGTTATTAAATGGTGTCTTCATTCACTGTCCCTCTGACCTGTGAGAGTCTGCAAGCTGAGCTCTGTACAGATTTCATCATCAGTGCTAATTGGCTATCGCAGCAAGTATAACCACAGAAAACCAACAGTTATAAAACCAGTTATATTGACAATAAATTGTAATAAAACAGCTCCTTTCACTCTCTCACATTAGTGTCTATAGTCATCCTCATGTAATTGTTACACTCTTTGTCTTGTGCTGAAGGGTAAAACTGCCATAGCTCACCGCAACTGTGCTCATGTTGTCAGTGACACAAGCCTTGTGTTCTTCTGTAGTGCCTCGACAGTGTTCAGAAAGCGAGTTTGCCTGCACCAACGGCCGTTGCATTGCTGGGAGGTGGAAGTGCGATGGAGACCATGACTGTGCGGACGGATCTGATGAGGTTGGATCTGTTGAAATTGTTTGGAAAAGAAAAAAATCCTTTTTGCACTACCTGTTATGTCTCTGTTTATGATGGACTATGATGTTTCTTTAGCATGGCTGTGATCTGAAGTGTGACCAGGACCAGTTCTCGTGTAAGAATGGACACTGTATTCCGATCCGCTGGCGGTGTGATGCTGATCCTGACTGCATGGACGGCAGCGATGAGGAAAACTGTGGCAGTGCTGGTAAGCATATTTCTGTGGGTGTGTCATTTTTAAGAGAAAAGTAGATCCCAGATGCCTTAAAGCTGACTCCCAACAAATGAGCTTGTATCAGGTTTTACAGGAGCACACACCGGTAGTAAAAATCAGTTTCTTCCTGCAGCTGGCCGTCACTGCCCTCTGGATGAGTTCCAGTGTAACAACACTCTGTGCAAGCCCCTCGCCTGGAAGTGTGATGGAGAGGATGACTGTGGGGACAACTCTGATGAGAAACCCGAAGAATGCAGTGAGTTTTGCAGTCTTGCTGATCAAAATCATGTTGAATTCCTATTGCATTTTTTTCTTCTCACCTATTTTTCTTTCCTCTTCCCTTCTCTTTCCGTTCAACTCTTAGGGAAGTTCCAGTGTCCGCCGACAAGAGCGTTCCGCTGCCAAAATGACCGTGTGTGTCTGCAAGTGTCAAGGAGGTGTGACGGCGTTAATAATTGTGGAGACAACAGCGATGAACTGAACTGCCGTAAGTTAGGAAGTTGTTCTGGTTATAAAATCTCCTACTTCCTCATCTTTGACTGAGGAGATGCTGACTTATGTCTGCGTTTTTGTCAACAGAGGCTCCTCCATCTGTTCCCACGTGTGAGAAAGACGAGTTCTTGTGCTCCAATGGCAGATGCATCAGCTCCAGTCTGCGCTGTAACTTCTTTAATGATTGCGAAGACTATGGCTCTGATGAGATCAACTGCAAAACGGGTAGATCTTCACTCACTTCTGCATAACTGACCATGGACCTAAGGTCTGAAAGTTTTACCCTTTAAATCCACAGGCTTATCTTTCACTTGTGTTTTTTGTCCTATAGACACAAAGCTAAACGACTGTCGGAGTAACACAACTCAGTGTGGTGATGGAGATGAGGCCCACTGTGTCACCAATGGCACAGACTCCTTCTGCTCCTGCAAACCAGGCTTCCAAAAGATAGGACACCACACCTGTGGAGGTACACGCACAAAGTGCATCATGCATCATGACAGCTCTTAACCCTCAATGTAGAGGGTAAGAGCTGGGCAATATTTTAAAATTTCATGTGACTTTCTTTTTCTTTTCTCATATTTTTAAGATAAGAACGAGTGTCTGCAGTTTGGAGTCTGTTCCCACATCTGCAATAACACCAAAGGCTCCTACAAATGCAGCTGCCACAAGTACTTCACCAGGATAAATGACACCTGCAAGGCTGACAGTAAATGCACTGCTTATTTTATTAATTATTTTCCCTCAAGTCTTGTAATAATTGTTCACTTCAAGGTGAGCGTCACTGCAACGGCTTCTCTCTCTTTCCTTCCAGACATGAACAGCAGTCGGCAGATTCTATACATCGCTGACGACAATGAAATCCGAAGCCTTGACCCCGGCATGCCCAACTGGCGCTATGAGCAGACCTTCCAGGGTGATGCCAGTGTGCGCATTGATGCGATGGACCTGCACGTCAAGACCAACCGCATCTTCTGGACCAACTGGCACACGGGGCGCATCTCCTCCTACGAGCTTCCAGGATCATCCTCATCATCATCTTCTAGCATCAACAACCTGCAGGTAATGCTGGTCAAATAATGCAAAATCTCTAGAGCACCAATATACACGACATCATTCAAACACCTCAACTTTGTGCTTTTATCCAGATCAAAGACCTGAAGATGCCCCGTGGTATTGCTGTGGACTGGGTGGCTGGTAACCTGTACTGGACTGACTCAGGCCGAGATGTAATTGAAGTGGCTCAGTTGTCAGGCCAGCATTCCAAGACCCTCATCTACGGCATGATAGACGAGCCTTATGCCATTGTAGTGAATCCACAGAGAGGGTAAATGGATCATTCTTTTAAGGATTTCTTTTTCTGTTGTCTTATATTTTGCACATATGTGTTCTGACTCTGGATTTTTTATTAGTACCATGTACTGGGCAGACTGGGGCAACCACCCTAAAATTGAGACGGCCGCCATGGACGGCACTCTAAGACAAACACTCGTCCAGGAGAACATCCAGTGGCCGACAGGTAAGTACTGCTCCGAGTCTGAATTTATTCGAATCCACACAGTGTAACATTCTCATTAAGGCTCTCTAATTGTGCCTCTGCAGGCTTAGCTGTGGACTACTTCAATGAGCGTCTTTACTGGGCAGATGCTAAACTATCAGTCATCGGCAGTGTTCGTCTGGATGGCTCTGACCCTGTCGTTGCTGTCTCCGGCATCAAAAACAGTTGAGTTTATTCTGCAACTTTCCAGACTACATGCAAGTTTGCTAATGTGACATTAACACTTGCCACATATGTATTTTGCACTTTTTTCCCCTCTAGATTTGCTCCATCCATTCAGCATAGATATCTTTGAGGACTACATTTATGGGGTCACATATATTAACAACTTTGTCTTCCGGGTCAACAAGTTTGGTAAAGGCCCTATGGAGAATCTCACCACAGGCATCAACCATGCTACAGACATAGTCCTGTATCACCGTTACAAGCAGCCAGAGAGTGAGTATCAAACATATTGCTGGTTGATTTGTCCAAAGATTTTTCTTCACACATAGTCTGCTTCAGTCTTAATTTAAAATGGACACCACACACCTTGTTTTGATGCACGCTTTATGGATATTCTCACTGGTCATGTTTCTCTCTGCACCAGTGACTAACCCGTGTGACAGAAAGAAGTGTGAGTGGCTGTGTCTCCTCAGCCCCAGTGGGCCGGTGTGCACCTGCCCTAACAACTACGTTGCAGACAACGGCACATGTGCAGAGAGACCAAACCCCACCCAGTCACCGTTCTGTATGTACACTACATAAACAAGTGGCTTCCCTTCTAGCAAGGTTAACATGTACACACTAAATTCAAAGTGCCGTGTCCTTTGACAGCCCCGCCCTCAGTTCCGTGCGATATCCAGTGTCAGAACGGTGGGAGCTGCTTCTTCAACGACCGTCAGGTGGCAAAGTGTCGCTGCCAGCCCAGCTACATAGGCGAGAGATGTGAAATCAACCAATGCAGGGACTACTGTAAGAACGGAGGCACCTGCACTGCTTCTCATGCCGGTGAGAGATTCAATTCAAGGTTTATCATACGGCACCAAAGCACAACAATGGTCGCCTCAAGGCATTTTTATACTGTGTGGTAAAGACGCCACAGTCTAAGCCAATGATGACTCCGGAGATGGTAATGTTGGTCTGTCTGATTTGTGTTATTCAGGAAAAAGTATCTCAACAGGTTTTGCATGAAATAACATCAACATTTACATTTCTCATACCCAGAGGAGAAACTCTCCTTTGGAAGAGCTGTTTTTTCTTCTTCTTGTGCCACAGTGAATTTGGCCAAACTATTGAAGTGCTTGCCATAAAGTTTCTTCTAGACCTTAATAACACAATCCTTTGACATTATCCTTCTTCAGGCTAAAAAAAAAAAATTTCAGTTGATCCAGTGCTTTGGCTGACGATCATCAGCCTGAGCTGTACCCTGAGTTTACTGCTGATTAGCAAACGTTACTGTGCTAATCAGGTTGAATTTGACGTGCCAAGGCTTTTGATCACAGGAAAGAAGCTTTTTTTTTTCCGCCCCTATTCCTAGAATTGTTTAAATCATTAAAAAAAATCCACTCTTTTGATGTCTGTGAGAGTATTCTTCAGTACTCATTAGTGATAGCAATTACAGGCTGCAGCAGAAGGCATGAAGCAGAGGAATTCCACATATTTCCAAACCTTTATCTCACTGGCACTTCACTGGTTCTGTCATGTGTGCAAACCAGTGGAATTTCTAGTTTAAGAAACCTGAGAAGGAACTGAGTCAGCAGTTTTGGTTGTGTGTTTGTCAAATGTTAAATGAAATGTAATACTTAAAATTTCAGTTTTATTCAACATTTATATCTTTATATATTTTAATTGTGTATTCTAGGGTTGCCAACTTGCAGATGTCCTAAAGGCTTCACAGGGCCAAACTGCAATCGCCACACTTGTCAGGACAACTGCCTGAATGGAGGCACGTGCTTGGTCAGTAGAGGCAACCAGCCAACCTGCAGTTGCCTGCCAGAGTACCTGGGAGACCAGTGTCAGTACAGTAAGTAAAAGCACCTGAGGATGTTTCTGTTTCTTTAATAGATTGCTAAGCAGGGTATTTTGCATCAACAGTATGTGACCCTCTTCTCTTTCTTTGCCGTCTTAAGGTAAATGTGAAGGCTTCTGCGAGAATGGTGGAACCTGCTTACAGACCTCCAACGGCACCAAACTTTGTCTGTGCCCCACCAAGTACGTCGGGCACCAGTGTGAGCTGGACAAATGTCAGTTCTGCGGAACGGGCAAATGTTTGACGTCAGCCTCAGGGGAGGTTTCCTGCAGGTGAGTATCGTGTGGGACGTGGTTACTGTGCTACATCGATTAGACTTGGATTTGTAAATATTTGCTGGCTTTTATTTTGAACTGCCAGAATATTCTTCACCCAAGGTCACCCAGCAATCTGTGGATTTTGTGCTTCCTAACAGTGCACAGCATGGAATATATCATTCTGAAATCATGGGAATCATTATTATTATTGTTATTCTGCTGCATTAGGATCTGCTTTAATATTTTTTTCATGTATGTTTGAAGCTGTCCAAATGGTCAGATCCAACCCAGCTGCTATACCTGTTCAAACTACTGTGCACATGGACAGTGTTCAGTAGACAATCGCACACTGCTGCCACAGTGCACGTAAGATCCCAGTAGACATTAACAGGCATATATATACTTAATAATATTTTATTTATTGTTTTAATGTCCGCTTAGCACACTTACCCACATATCCACTGTGTACCTCTATACCCAGGTGTGCTGTTGGATGGAGGGGATACAGATGTGATATCACAGCTCCCATAGAGTCTCATACTTCTAGTGGTAGTAAGTCAGCCACTCCCTGACAAAATCAAAGTTTGTTCATAGAACATGCACTTTGGTCCTATTTGCTTATCATTATTTGTTCACTCATAGGTACTGCGTCAATCATCGTCCCAGTGCTGCTGCTGCTGTTGCTGGCATTGCTGGTGGTTGGTGCCATCTTGTGGTACAAGCAGAGAATGCGTGGGTGAGTACTAGTTCAGGACGCTTTTTCATCTTTAAAAAATTCAAACTCCATTTGTCATCTGGTCCTCACCGTTCTGGTCTTTCTTTCTCTCTTACCTTTTGATAACCATCTATTTCCCTGTCTCCCAGGTCTCTATGCCCGGGCAAATCTCGTTCTCAGTGCTCGCGGTAATTTGATAGGGTTACATAATTCACCTGTTGACTCCCAATTCCTCTCCTCTCCTTTCCCTAAAATACAGTCAGACTGCCTTTGCTATGCTTTTGTCTGTCCTTTTGTCCATTCTGTCGTTCAGTGCCGAAATCTTTCCATTGTCCTCGCTTGCCATCTTCTGTTTGGGTTCCATGGGGTTTCCCACCCAACAACACAGGGGGCCTACTCACTCTAGAATAGCTCTGGTGATGCACGAATAGTTGAACTTTTGACGTCCTCCCATTGTCCTCCATGCCTTTCCCTGTTTACATTTGTAAATATTAGGCTCAGGCAATGTGCTTGCAGAGTAAAATGTATAACTGTGCATCTCTGAAAAATGTTTATATGCTTGCAAACAGCCGAATATTTGCAATCTAATCCAGCATTCTCCGCAATGGACATGCTGCAGTATATTCGATAGGTTTGATCAAATGGCCTTTTGACACAAAAGCTCATTTGAAAACCTTTAATATATGTTGTCTTGTTCTTGTCAATTGTACATAGCCAGTGCTGAGTGAATTTATGATATGGGTTTATGATAAGACACCTTTTAGTCACTCTAGCTTTCTTCTGAGGTTAGCACATCAATTCTTTTAAACAAGGGTCTGAATCTGCTTCTAAGATAATTGTTGATCTGTTTCTCTGCAGTGCCAAGGGCTTCCAGCACCACCGAATGACCAACGGGGCCATGAATGTTGAGATTGGAAACCCTGCCTATAAGATCTATGAAGGAGATCCTGATGATGATGCTGGGGAACTTCTGGACTCTGACTTTGCTTTAGACCCAGACAAGGTAACAAA